GGTCGAGGTAGTTTTAGGGTTCAGGCTTAGGGCTTAGGTGTTGGTGGACTATGCAGATCAGGGTTCACCGTCTTCAGGCGCTGGGGTTATCGGTCTGCGGCTTGAAGCCGTCGAAGATCAAGGAGGGAGCGTTGGATGTGGGGTTGACTTCGATCAAGTCGATCGTGAAGGCATGTTCCACTATAATTGGGTGGTAGTGGCTGTTCTTCTGTTCCTGGCTAAACCATGTAGCCTCTAGCCCACACCGCGAATCCCTGGACGATCCCCGCAGCCACCACACCTAAATCCTGAACCTCTTGAAAGTCCCGGAGCCTGCACCCGCAAGAAGCCAGTGACCGACGGCAGGAATCCTGAACCCTAAACCCCAAGGCCCTAAACCATAACGACGACATGATTTAAGCCCAAACCCAGGAAGTTGGATTGGATCCGGACGCGTGTAGAGAGCCCCGACTTTCTCCCGAAGGACCAGCCTGGGAGAGGTTCGAGAGAGGAGGTTTAGGTTCTAGGGCTGCGGTCTCAAAGGGTTTAGGGCAACCCTAAACCCTAATTCAGGCTTTAAAGGGTTCTGGGTGTAGGGTTTAGTCCTCTGGGGCTTGAGGGCTTACTGTAGTCTCAATGATATCTCGGTTTTTGGTGAGCGACTTGTACAGTTAGGATTAAGATAGAATTTTGTAACCAAGAAATGGAACCACAATGCAGACTAGAGGCACTGTTTAGGGGTTTATTTTGGAAAGCCCAATACCCTGAGCCGAAGAGTCACCCAGGCACAGGACAACAGCTATAGACATAGGTTTGTTTTTTGGGGGGGTTACAGGACTCCTGCCGCCTTCTTTATGCCAACGGCCAACGACCTTATAATCAAGGGCTCATAAGACCATTTTCCAGTGCTTGAGGTTGCAGGCAGGGTCGTCGAAATGCTGCCACGGGCGGCTTTCCACCATCCCAAACGGCGATCACATGCGTTCAAGAGATGAAGCAGGAGTGCAGAAGCCGATGTTTGTGTACTAGAGGGGACCTAATGATCACCTACAATATTCTGGATGTTCCTTATTATAACTGAACTTACAACTCTAGTATTTTTGTATAGATATAGTATTAATTGTGTATACCCCCAACCCTATTCTGACTATTCAGGCCTCTATATTAATCAGTCTGTCGCATCGCTTCTGTCGCTTCTGTGTTTCCGGGGCAGCAGGGACGTCCATCGTCCGCCAGACCATGAGGCAGGTGGTGCCTGTGGACAAGGGCTTCATGTCGGTGGACCTGCACATGCACTTAAAGGAATATAGGACTTAGCAATTGGCGCTATAAAGTAAGGTAACTACAGTACTTATAACCCCAATTGAGGTACTTATGAACCTGCTTACTAGTCCCATGATCCTGCAAGTATGACGCCTTCATTCCTATGACGGATTTGGAGGTCTACAATTTCTTCGTGTGCTGATGTTCAGATGCTAACATGGCCTCGAAATATCCGGAAACCGTTAACCTTTTCGGGAGTCTCTATAGGAGCCCTTATAGTAACATTTCAAAGCTAAGGGGGTTTAGGGTTCAGGGTTAATAAAGGCCTGTGTCTCGGACTTATATAAACCTAAACCCGCAGGCGTCCTTAAATTGAAATCCACATCCCGGAGCCCCGTAATAAGCCTCAACAAACACCCAATGCCCACATACCCGAGAGCCTGACACTAGATGTGCCCAAAGCCGTTGCCTTGGCCTCGTAGGAAGGCGTCTGTTAGGGGTTTAGAAAGCTTGCAGGTGCACGGGTAAGGCTTAGGAGGAGTGTTGTTGTTTGTTGTGTATGCTCTTGCGCGTGTTGAGGCGGCTTGAGAATCGCTCTATACCCTAAACCCCAAACCCTAAAAAGAGAACTACGGGCTGCATAGTGGAGGCGTTAAAGTTTCGCGTGTACGGGGGCTTGTTGTCGGGATCCATGAGATGCACAGGCCGGTTTAAGGTTCTGGGGTTTAGGTTTATGGTGCTGTAGGGCTTTGAGTCTAGGCTTTAAGATGATGCTAGGAGGCTGTTCTTGTATGTAGCGTTAAGCCTAAACCCTAAGCCCATTCGGGAGAAAAAGCAGAATTTCTCGTCGCAAGCTTCAGGCCTTAGCCCAACAAAGCCTTAGACCTTTGAAGTGGTAGTTGAGGCTTCAGGCCTTGACAATTACCTAAAGGTTCCTTTGAAAGGGGTCTATGAGGATTGCTATCATGGGTATTATAGGGGGTTTAGTATAGGGGGCCTTAATACTTACCTATACTATTTTGGAGGTTCCGTAATATACTATACCTCCAAACCCTATTCTAATTACTAAGGCCCCTGTATTAGGAACTCGGATTTCCGGTTTCGGGCTTCGGCCTTTGACTGCTGAGCATGAAATCCAACATGAAGTCCTGCAAGCCGCAATCTTGCACTTTAGGGATCATGGGACTTAGTAACTGGGGTTATATGTAGGGTAACTACAGTTATAATAACCCCAATTAAGGTACTTCTAACCCTACTTACTAAGTCCCAAGCCCCAATCTTGAAGAGGACAAGACGCGGCTATCAAAGATCTACAGCCACTGGATCTGCACACGGGGGGGCGGAATACGTGACATTGAATGCGTCGTAGCCCCCAGTATCAAGCTATTGCCCTAAGGCTCCATAGTACTGTAGTTCCTTTTAAGGGCTCATATTTAGAATCCTATAAGATAACCCCCCAAAGGAACTATGGAGCCTCTGGGTAAACCTAGGCCTTAGCCCGAAACCCGAACCCGGAGCTGCCATTGTTAGGCCGAAATCACGAAACCTACGCTATTCAATTTCGAAACCCCAAACCCAGAGACTCCAACATCCCGTAATTAAGGAATATTCCGTAATTAAGGGATATTGGAGTCTCTGGGAACCCGAAATACACAGGCCCAGAGGCTTCTCGAGGATAACCAGGAACCGAAAGACTGCAAAAATTCCCCAACCCGAGGGTGGTGAGGCATGTCCAGGGCTTACGGGGGGGTTTGGGGTTCACTGTGTCCTCTTCACGGTTTAAGGTTTACCTCGAGCCTTAACCACCCCAAAAACCGGCCTTGCTCAAGGACCTCTCTACTTAAAGGATCATGGGAGTTAGTAAATAGGGGGGTTCCTTAAAGGGCTCCTTAAAGGGATCTATAGGGGTACTATAAGGGTTTAGGGTTTAGGGTTCTACTTAAAGGATCATGGGAGTTGGTAAATAGGTTATAACTGGGGTTATAAGTCCCCTAAGTGGGGTTAGCCTAATTATAACCTACTTATAACCTTACTTACTAAGTCCCATGAGCCTTCAAGTAGGACATATACCCTAAGGCTCCATGTACCCAAATAGTAGATACTTTGGCCTTAAAGTGGTTCCTATATAGGTACTAGGTACTTTGGGACCTACGTATATACTATTTGGGTGCACGGACCCTTAGGGATACAAAGAAAGAAATCCTAGCAAGAAGTCGAAAAGGATGGGGTTGAGGTAGGGCTTATGCCGACAAGCCTCCAGGTGAGCCCTGAATAATACGATATCCTGAACCCCTGAGCCCTCAATCCTAAACTTCCGGTGATCCCTGAACCCCGTAGACCCTAAAACCTTAAACTTCAGGTGAGCCCTGAACCCGAAACCCCTAAACCCTAACCCCCTTGCCTCTAAAACCCTAAGCTTCATGGTGAGCCCTGAACCCCGAACCCCTTGACCCTAAAACCCTATAAACCCTAACCCTATAAACCCCGAACCCTAAAACCCTAAACTCAGGTGAGCCCTGAACCCTAAACCCCGTAGACCAGACACTAAGCCCCTTGACCCTAAAACCCTAAAACTCAGGTGAGCCCTTGACCCTAAACCCTATATAAATAACCCCAAACCCTACAACCCTAAACTCAGGTGAGCTTATGAAAGTGGACACCTTCGAGCAGTTCCTCAACACTCAGCCTCTTTCATCTGCCAGTTGAGCTTTTCGGGTCCGTAAACCCGTGATCTGAAGTTTAGGCTTTACCGTAAACTGCCAGAAAGTTGGAAACCGGATTAAGGCCAAATAGTGCTGGGATTCCCTGTGCACTACTCTTAAGGATCGAGGCTGTTGGGTTTCCAACTTTTTGGGCTTCTATGCTGTAAGGTTTAACCCTACATGGACCCCCAAAGGTATGTCCTTTTATAGCTGTTGGGCCATTATTTTTGAACCTGTGTTTGGGGGTTTAGGTAAACCCAAAGACCCCTAAACCCATAAACCTCGTAAAGGGCGTGTGGTTTATAGGGTCTGGGGGCTTTGAGTCCAAGCGCCAAGGGCAGGCCTAGAGGGTCATACCATACCACTATTTATAGGATAGCTATATAGAAAATTAGGTACTTTGAAAAAGGGGTAGGGTAGGAGCCTCTAGGTAGGGTTCATGGGGTTAGGCTCAGGGTTTGGGGGGGGGTTTTAGGCGTTGGCGTGTTGTTTTCGGTCGGGTTTCGATCTTCAGGCTTCAGTCTCAGCTTTGAATTTCTCGTAATATAAGGGGCCTTAAGAATTACCGATACTATTGTGGGGGTTTCTTACTAAAATTATGGTACCATTGGCACTAAAACAGTCGTCTAATTATGAAGGCTCCCTGAGTTTGGATACCTTCCAGCAATATCTAGAGACCATGCGATCCCAAACGCAGTTTCCCCTGTCATTAGCATTGCGGGGTCTAGGTGAACCATAAAGCACATATGTGGTTTGTTGATGGTTGTTTTACTATAGCTGCATACGCTTGAAACAGCACTCATGCTGATGCTCGACTCGTACAAGATCCCTTTTTTTGATCCTTCGGTGTGTGGTTCAGGTTGAGACAGCCTTCAGCCCAAAATGAAAGAGCACTACTGTACCCTAAACACTACATCCATCAGCTCATAGCCGGAAATGCAAAGTCTAGCCGCAGGGGTCTGGATAATTAGCAATAATTACCACAGGGCTCAGAACACAGGCACCAGCGCCTGATTGCTGTAGCCCCAGGCGCAGTAGCGTCGTCCAAGAGCCGCTATGGGAACAAGGTACGTTAAGAACAGCCTGGCAGCGACTGCGGACTCCAAAAAGTTCGTTGCCGACTGCAGCGAGGCCTGTCCCGCCGGTGATTGTTTTCCTCCGACATGTCTTTTGCAGGTAGCCAGCCCAATACCATGGCACGAGGTTCCTCCAGGCCTACTTCCAGCGCAGGCAATGGGAAAGATCGGACAGGACATGACTGCTTGTGTCTACCACGTGGGGGTTGAAGGCGCCTTTCTTGGTACAGAGCGTGGTTCTGTAGATGGTGCGCTGGCAAGGGGTGCAGGCTACAATGGCTGCAAGACTTTCCTTGGAACAACCGGTCAAAGACATCGACGAACACCTCGACTTCCGGGTGTGGGAGCGCTACAGCGAGACCCATGGATGCAACGATATCTGGGGAACTGCAGGGCGCCGCTTGAAGAACTGTCACGGTCATGCCGCGGAGGTTCAAGATCTGGAACCCTGCAAGTCCACCGACATTTCCAGGCTGCTACGCAGGAGTCCAAGACGGTGGATTGTGGTGCCAGATCTAGTGGTGGAATGTGGATGCTCGTCAAGCTGCTGATTGTCACCTTTAAGGTTGAGGCAGTACAATGAGGCGGCTAGTCCCTTTCTGCAACATCTGAGAGGGCCATAGCGAGCTGGACTGTGGATTGGAATACGTCCGTTGCCATAGCCACATCCAGACAGTTTTCGCATTTGCGTGGAACTCCTCGGAACCGCAATTGCCACGCACTTAGTCCTAGGACCTGATCATGTGTGCACCCCTGTTTAGTTTAGTGTTTGTGTGCTTGGAGAGTTGATTGCGTTTCGCGTGGCCCAGTGCACGTATACGCCGTCACTGCGTGCACTTTGAGGCCACGTGTGAGGGCTCCTGCGGCTAGGATTGCCTCTTCGGAGCCCGCTTTTGAGGAGTACCTTTCCGCTTTTGGGGTGATCTTGTCCTTTGGGCCTCTTTTGGTTTTTGGACTTCTTTGGTTCTAGCATAGAGCTAGGGCCTGGAGTCTGCCATCGGAGGCTGGCCGTGTGCATACAAGGAGGTTTCAACAAAATCCTCCTTGATTTCTGCATCGGCCCCAGAATTCGGGTTTGCATAGTCGGACGCGCCCCCAGCGGCACTGAAGTCCATCAGAAGAAGAATAATTACCACACAGAACCCTGATCAAGCTAAACTTTAGCAAATCCATGTATATCCCAAAACCACGGTTCAGGATTCACCAGAGCTTAAGAAAAATGCCCCATTGCCCCAAGCCCTGAACACCTTAGCCCAAGCACACAGCAACAACAACAATAACCCTGCAAATACGCGGAATCCTAACCCTGTACTCGAAACCCCATATCCTGAAACTCAACAGCCCGTACTCTAAGGTACAAAGCCAAACAAACCTAAACCCTTATCTTGCACCCTAAACCCACAATCACCCCCCCGCCCCCCGCCCCGCCCCCCGCCCACCTCCCTCCACCCCCTCCCCCCCCTACAAAACAAAGAACACCCAAAACCCTAAACCCTAAACCCTAAACCCAACACGACTGCTCAAGGTACAAGACCACGAAGCGCTTCGGGGTCGATGGTGGTGAGGCAGCAGGGCACGCAGAGCCTCCAAAGCAAGGTCTTCCTTGACCCCAGAGAACCTACCTTCTAAGGTTTATATATATATATATATGCCACTGTAGCATACCGAAGTGTGATCATATGTTCGTACCCAAGCACGGCAAGGCCGTGTACAATGCACGTCAACATGCTGGAGTAGTTGTTATGCCTCAGGTCGTCTTGGAGCACGCAACGCCGCCTAAGGTCACACCGTTGTTTACTATTGCACGGGTTGTACATTATCGCACCATCGCACATGAAAGTAAACCGCAGCGTATGAAAATGTCACGCTGTGGGAAAATTTCTCGTCGTGTTGTACCGAATGTACTAATTATTGCGTATGCGTATCTGCACGGGCACCGGGGCAACATCTAGCGAGGCCGTTTCCCCGTGTGTCGCATACCGCAGCCAGACCACCACGCGGCTACAGGAAACAAGCCAACCATTAATCGCTGTTCAGCCGCTGTTCTATTTTGACACTTTATGAAAGAATTCCGTAGTGTGGACCATTGTGTTTGTTTACTTGAAATCATGGAAAGACTCTTCTGGCCCCAAAACAATGCAGACACAGCTTTGACATGTATTAACAAGGCCCGTCTTTTGAATCAGGCCGCTGTTGCCGGTGTCAATGCCGCCATCGAGAAAGCGTCGGAGATGGGGGTTCAGGAGGTGCCTGCGCTTGCCATAGCCCTCCAGGATGGAAAGTACGTAGCAGTGAAGCACTGTTCTACAAGGGTTGAACAAGTTTAGCAAGCATGTAAACAAGGCGTTCTATATGGTTTAAAACTGTTTGGAGGTTCCAGACTTCCCAACAATTACGAACTTGAGTTGAGGGTATTGACAGCACAGGGTTGCATTTTGTAGAGCGTTGAGTATTAGGCATCAGGTGCTGTTCCGTGACGGTCTAGACGACAAGGCTTTAAGGCGGTTTAAACTCGAGGTCAGGATTCCACGACTATGGCTGGGTTTATTCGGGTTTGCGGTTTGGGGCCAAGTCTATAGGATTTTCAGCCGGGATTTAATATATTATTTCGAGAGACCAGCAGGAGTTGTCATCGGATTGCTGCGTTGGGGCGCCATTAAGTTCCATTCCATAGATGCCAAAGTTCTAGAAAACAGTGGATCCGCAACAATAAACCCTGAGTAGGAGGATCGTTAACATGCATGAGAATCCCGAAATGCCGCCCTAAGTCCAAGAATGCACCAGAAGAGCCGTCATGTGGTGGTCCTTTGGGAAAGCTTCAGCGGTTGCTGACGGGTTAGGGCCTAGCTGGTTTCGACGTTTCTTTGTGATAACTAAGGTTGCAGGGTTTTTTTGCCTTGAGAGGTTCGGCAATTCCGGACAGACGTGCGATTTGTTAATAAACTAGCTGTATGTCACAGGGCTCTACACATTTTCAGGACAGAAAGGCAGTATTATTGACATCGTAGTAAAGTACAGGGTCGGAAGCGTAGAACAAAGGGAGATAAAAGGGAACTATTATTTGTCCTGTTTCTTAGCAAGCGCTACATGTAGACTCGAAAACCCACTAAGTCACTAAGTGTGCTGCAAGACGCTGTGCGTCTCTGTTCCCTGCACATGTCATTGTTCGTTGTATTTCTTCTCCTGGCTTCTTATGGTTCAGGGTTCAGGGATCTTATTGGTTTCGCTCCCATGTGTTGCGTTTGTTTGCTGGTGGATCCCCTTTGGTGCTGCTTATGTCTATTATTTCTACTTTGTCGCCGTTTGCCTTTGGTGATTTGTTCTCGACTTGTTGGAAGCAAGGTGCACGTTGATAAGTACAGCACTAGCACAAGAAGCATTGCAAAATGGGCGGCCTTGCATCCCTCAACGGGAAGTTCCCTGACTTCAGGGGCTTAATATTGCCTATACTATTTTGCCGGGTCCTTATTATAATAGTTATAGTAATATATGCCCCAAACTCCTATTCTAATTATTCAGGCCCTTGCATTATAGTACCCTTATAGATCCCTTATAGTAGACCTTTTAAGCCCTTATTAAGGAACCCTTTAAAGGAAGCCTATTCCAAATATTAGGGCCTCTAAACTACCTCAAAAGCGAGGTCGTCATCGGCATGCCGCATCGAGGTCGACTGAATGTTCTGACGTGCCTTGGATGTGGTTCTGAAGTGGTTTAGGGTTTACCTTAACCCCGAATAACCTACCTTTCAGGGTTCCTTAGTAGGATTCCTTATATATGTCCTTAAAAACCGTTGGTCATTCCAGATTGAGGTAGGGTTTAGTACAAGGTGTCATTTCCCTGTTGCCCAGTGATGTACTTGGAGGATCATGGGACTTAGTAAATGGGGTTATAAGTACTTTAACTGGGGTTATACGTACTTATAAGTGTAGTTACCTTACTTATAACCCCAATTACTAAGTCCCACGATCCTTCAAGTAGGTCTGAACCTGAATTCAGACGTCCTCTTCAGGATCAAGTCCTACTGTTCATCATCGACTGCCACCACCCTAGGTCGCGCAAGCGCATCAACTTCGTGTTTAGGTCTTGGAGTGGTATTTGTGGTGTGTGTGTATCTATTTTTATTTATAAATATATCTCCGCTTAGAGGCTTAGAGAGCATTGAATACCTGTGCGCTGCAATCAGGAGTACTTTTCAGCTTTAAAGGGATCGTTGACATGATTCGAGCTTGCAGTGGGCAGTTCTGGATCACGGAGTCCGGAAAGAAATAAGACAAAAGCCGACTACAACCACAACCCCGACGCCCTAAACCCCTAAGCCCGAAAACTCCTAAACCCTAGGGACCCTAGACCCCTAAAGCCCTACACACCTGCACTAAGCCCCCAAAGCCTAAACCCTTAAAGCCCTGTAACTCTAAAGCCCTACCCTTGAACCTCAACTCCCGACTTGCACCATAGCTGTTGGCCCTTTTCTCCACAACTTAGGGGTGCTTTGCATATTTGGCTGGGGGTTCTAGGATTGAGGATTTTAGAGTGATTTTAGGGTTCAGGGTGCAGGGGTTTAGGGTTTGGGGGGTTTAGGGCTGAGGGAAGTTAACGGGGCATCTAACAGTTTGCGCGTATTTCACCAGGGATGCTAGGTGGTCTTGCCGGGCCCTTAATAGAACCCTATATGTATATATATATATATATATATATATGTACACTCTTTGTATATACATATATATATATATATATACATACATATACATATACATATACATATACATATACATATACATATATATATATATATATATATACTTTCTGTGTAGCCTGCGGATTGAGGTGTTGGAACTTGGGAACTCTTTGACTTGTGAGCTTTACCACTAGCAGTGCGTCCCCAGAAGTGAGCCTTAAGACCCAATGTTATTGGACGGGTGAGAATGTGCAGAGTGGGAAGCGTCTTGCCACTTCAGCTGTAGGCAGCGCAGGGGTCGGCCCGACTTAGTAGCTAGGGTTATGATTAACCTGACTGTCGTTATATCTCTAGTAACCCCAATTATGGGACTTATAACCCCAATTACTAAGTCCCACGATCCAGCCACCCTAAACCCTAAACCACTGTCCCAGGAATGTCGTCGGCAAGCCTCTGGTGCAGATGTTCGCGGAGTTCAAGGCTTTACGATGCAGAACCCCGAATCGGCCCATACACGAAAACCCTGAATCCTAGAACCAGGGTTTAGGCTTTATAGGTTTAGGGTATAGGGTTTCTTATAGGGTTTATAGGGTTTATAGGGTTTAGCGCTTATAGGGTTCATAGGGTTTTTTGGTTCCTAAACCCCCAAACCCTGAATCAAGCACCGCGTTTTTTGGACACGCCATGCCAATACGTTGCTCGCTTTACTGCCTTGATCCAAGGCTTTAACATGCCCAACCATCGCTGTTCAATAGCATTGGGGTTACAAGTTGAGAATTTTATTCTGGGGGTTCCTTACTGTGGTTCTAGTTATAGTATAATGGGCCCCAAACCCTAATCTAATTATTTAGGCCCCTATATTAGGATTTTAGGCTTTGGGTGTTCAGGGTGCGACTGTGATAGCTTTGCTGTCGGAAGCGATAATAAGCAGGACAGGCACTTCCTGCAGTGCACGTGTACCACCATCTAAAATAAGCTAGTACCACTGAGAGCATCGCAGTCAGACGACGGAAGGCTGCATAAGAAACCAATCGGCATCTCCATGACGTTCTCCGTATAGCCACGGACTATGAGTAGCACGACATGCAAACCCTAAGCCCGACTTGGAGGATCATGGGACTTAGCAAGTCGAGTTATAAGTACCGTACTTACTTGGGGTCTAAGTAACTCTAACTGTAGTTGCCTTACTTATGACCCCAATCACTAGGTCCCATGATCCTTTAAGTAGAGCCTTAAGCCCTAAACATTTAAAGAACCCCAACAGATTCCCCCCGAAAGGGACCCCAAAAAGGAACCCAATCACTACTTGGAAGGGCAGCGGACTTAGTAAGTAGGTGATAAGTAGAGCTATAAGTACCCTAAATGGAGTTATCCCAACTATAACCCTACTTATAACCTACTTACTAAGTCCCCCGCCCTTCCAAGTAGAGCCTTGAGCCCGAGCCCATGAAGCTCCCTGGGCCCGAAAGCCAGTGATACGGGGTCAGATTTCCCAGAGACCCCAATATCCCTTGGCGTTCTTCCGGTTGGCTCTTTAGACTTTAACTTTTTGGGTTTCAAAATGAGCTATAATAAAGAGGCTAAAAGTTTAACTCTTAGGAGGGGTTCAGAAGTCAGCCATGATCCCTTATAATTAAGGCTCCTATAAGGGATCTATGCGGTTTAGGGTTTAGGAGACTCCAATATATCTTAATTAAGGAAGATGCCTTCAATCATATTAGATATCCGACTATAACCTAAGATATATGCCTTAATTATAAGGGATATCGGAGTCTGGGTATAGGGTCTTAGCACCCCTAGGCGTAAAAGGCCAATCTGCGGTCAAACGTCAGAAGCAAAACCCGCAACAGAATAAGTAAGCAGAGTTCAGGCGTGTGGTCCAAGAGTCCCAACATAGGGTTTAGCGTTTAAGTTTTGGGTTAGGATTTAGGGTTTAGGGTAAGGGTGTATTGGTTCCCAACGATGATGCATGATGATAAAGTCTGCTCAGGGGACGCACTACGACTTCGAGAACTTGGTCCAGAAGAGTCAAAACGACGACTGGTCAGTGCCTCAATGAACTTTCAAAGGGCACTTCGGATAAAATGCCGGTAGCTCAGCATTGAGCGACGGGGTTTCATCTGTTTCGCATTGTGGGTGCTGCATCCGGCCTCAGCGATGCATGCGGGCCCATTTTGCTCCCCAGGGTTCATGGCAGTTAGCTCACACTCAAACCTGCCTAGACCCTCGGATGCAGTTGCTTTTATGGTTTGGATCCCAAAAGCAAGCTCGAAAACCAACAATTTTTACTACATTTGAGGGTCTAGATTAGAGTTTAGGTTGTAAGGTTTAGGCACGAACCTCAGAGGTAAACTGCTTGAAAATAGCCTCTCAACCGTTTGCTCATCGCGAACTCATCCTCGTGAGTTTTCGGACATACCCAAAGGGTCCTAGGTAGTGTTATGGGGCTTCCGCAGATCATAATAGTACTTCCTAATATGGAAACCCTACACTCTACTATATACTATATAGGTACTTTGGACCCTTTGGGATAGTCCCCTCAGTTCCTGAGCCGGGACATCGGGGACTGCACGGTTGAGGTCTTTAGGGATTGGGTGTGGGGTCTTGGTGTTCTGGAGCCCCAGAGACTCCAATATCCCTTAATTAAGGAATATTCCTTAAATCATATTAGGGATTAAGGAATATTCCTTAAACCATTTTAGGGATTAAGGAATATTCCTTAAATCATATTAGGGATTAAGGAATATTGCTTAAATCATATTAGGGATCTCACTAGGATTTAATGTATAATCCTTAATTAAGGAGTCTTAGGGTTCTGGACTAGCTAGCTCGCAGGCTGGCTGGCGAGCTCGTTGGCTATCACCTATCGACCCACCCCGCTCGCCCACCCACCCATGCACCTACCGACCGGCCCACCCACCTGCCTACCCACTTGCCCGCCTAACTACATACATGCGTACCATACCTGCATACGTACATACGCACGTACATGCTCACATCCATACATACCTATCTGCCAGCTATCTACCCAACTATCTACCTTTCTATCTACCCAACTATCTACTTATGTATGTCTATCTGTGTGCCTATGTAGATACCCATCTATCTATCTATGTATCGACCCATCCATATATATATATATCTAGGTTCGCAAAGAGAGATGTGCACATTGTACACACAGAAATACTAAATACTCCAGCACACACATATGTATACACAAGTTATACCCAGATGTGCATGCTGGCATCGTTTCAGCTTAGTTTCAGCTTCGACCTAGGCTCTTCGCGGGTGATGTGAAGTACCACCTTGGAACCTCCAATATGCGCGAGTTTTCCAACGGGAAGTCGGTCCTGGCGACACTGGAGGCACGAGTGCTGGAAACTTAGGGTTTAGGGTTTAGGGTTTGGGGTTTAGGGTTTCTTGAGATACTTGACTTGGTGGTGGTTGGGCCTTACTCTCGGCCTTTGAACTCTGAACAGAAAGATCGCTAGACCCTAACATCGCTTCTATCCCTGCAAGTCCTTGGGCTGTGTGTTTGAGGCTTCTCTGTGTTCCAAGCTTTTGGCTTTCGAAAGGTCGAGTCTTTGCCAAGCAAGGTATATACTTCGGGCAGATTCAGGGTAGACGTTTAGGGTTTAAGGTATCTAGGGTTGAGGATTTCGGTCGAGACGTTTTTCAAGATCTTGGGTTAAGCATGGCTGAAAGGGTTCAGGGTAGAGTTTGAAGCGCCTGCACGCAGACGGCGCCCGGAAACCTTCAATCCCAACCCACAAACCCCGAACCCCCATCCCTCCCCTGTACCTTAACACCTGGCATCCCAGAAAGCATTGAGTGTTTAATTATCAATTCTGAGAAAATTTCAACCCGAATGATTGAACAAACACCCTCCACCCAGTAAGTTCGCCGCCCTAGACAGCCCCACGCCCAAAGATCCCAGCCCCACACCCAAAGATCCCGGTGCCATCCAATCCCCTAGCTGGAGGCTCCATAGTATCTCCTTTTTGGTTCATATTTAGAATCCTACAAGGCAACATAGGAGTGGTCTTTGTATCTGAACCCTCCACGGACGCCCAGGGAGGTTTTACGGTATTTGCGGCGCAACCTGGCCATGCCCCCAAGGACATCGGCCTCCTTCCCCGTGTGTGGCGCTCCACCGGAGCAGTGGATGATTTTCTTCGTCAGTGCGAGAGCTTTCGGGTAAGCCCGCAACTGTACCTAAACCCTTAGCTGTCATAGGGCAGCCTACATAACTTATCCATGTATCCCCCCTCCAAAAAATGCAAGCCTTTACACGCCCAGCTTAGCTACGTACTAAGACAAACAACCCCTAAGGCTCCATGTGCCCATATAGTATATACTTAGGCCTTAAAGTACCTATATATATATATATATATATATGTATATGTATATATATATATATACACATAGAGAGGGACCCCTTTAAGGCCTAAGTACCTACTATACAGGTAGATGGAGCCTTTGGGAACACTAAACCTTCAACCTAAGAGCCCCAATCCCCTCAATATCTCAAGCCTACATTGTGAATTTCCTTACATCTGGTCTTTACCCTAAACCCTAAACTGAACCCTAAACTGAACCCTAAAGCCTAAACTAAACCCTAAACCCTAAACCGGATCTGGCAACCTCACCACAACCTAGCTTAGGGGTTTTACGGTCCAAGTAGGGGTTGAATCTAGGGTTCAGAGGTTTAGGGTTTGGGGGCTCGTCCCCCCAATATCGACAATCACCATGTAAAATCCGCCTCACAAGCAAAAGCCACACCCCCTAAGCCCCTAAACCCCTAAACCCCTAAAGCCCTAAACCCTAAAATATAGATCCCTTATAATAACCCTTATAGACCTCTTTAAAGGAACCCTAATCCCCAAGCCCAAAAGCCAGGCCAACTCGTCACACCCTGAACCCGAGACCGTAAAAGTCAGGCCAACCCATCGCACCTGGAGACGGTGAATACCGTTACACTGGGTCGAGCTCGGGCCAAGCGCCCCGGCGGGGCAGGTCGAGATCCTTCAGGGTTCCTTTAAGGGATCTATAATAGGGTTTAGGATTTATGATACTTGTAGGGGAGATCGGTTCCTTTAAGGGATCTGTAGGGTTTAGGATTAGGATACGGGCCTTAATATTTCCGAAATACTATTTTTGGCTGTTCGCTTCCGGCTGTTTCCAGCCTTCTGCTATAGGGGCTTCAGTAATTACCTATACTATTTTTGGGGGTTCCTTATTATAAGTATAGTCTACTGGGCCCCAAAACCCTATTCCAATCATCTAGGTCCCTATATTAGCCGTTCTCGTCGCTGCTTGTTCGTTGGTGGTTCTACTTTGCTTGTTAATCTCACTATCACTAACGCTATCTGATGACGATAGTAATGACATGATGACAACCTTCGCTAGTTCAGCAAATGTCTGCCGATGTTAATTTTTGCTGCGTCTTGGAGTCAACATGACCGCTGCCATTCACAACCCATACTTGAGAACATAGTTACCATTGTTGTGTGTATGAGTTCCTCGCGAAATGTGTTTCGTACTACTTCCGTCTACTATACTCTGCTACTACTACCACCACCACCACCACCACGACCACTATTACGATTCCTGCTGCAGCTGCTACTACTGCTGCTACCACGCCGACGACGACATGACGAAGAAACAATAGTGGTAGTCGTCGTGATAGTTGTTGTGGTTGTTGTGTCGATGGCTTTAGATGTTGATGGTGATAGTAGTATTGTGGTACGAGTAGCCGTAGTAGCAACACAAAGTAGAAGAAGCAGCCGCCATAGCTTCAGCAACGAATGGAGAAGTCGCAGTCGTTGCCATCGTTGCGGTTATAGCTCTGGTGGTCGTGTCGGCGGCTGTTCCTGTCAGAAAGAAGGTTTTTTTGCTGCTGCTGCTGCTGCTGCTGCTGCTGCTGCTGCTGCTGCTGCTGCTGCTTTGCATTAGCAAGCGGCACACACTGAAGGAGCTGCACCAGCAGCAGCAGGAGCAGTTTTCCATTTAGTACTATGTTGACTATGTAGTGTAGTGTCCGTGCGAGAGCGAGGCTGACAGCATTGGTGCGACTACTTGTAACTTCATAGTGCCGAAACGATTAAGACTTTCGCCTCACGGTCATCCTCGTACTCGAATAAGTGCTGTGATATTTGTCGTTGTTAGCCTTATCCGATTTGATTTTTATGTTGCTGTTCCTGAAGCGAGGGTCCTCATGCACTAGTACTTGGGGCAAGCCTGTTTTCGGAAGTGAACTCAGATTCCCGCCCTCGGAATGTTCATCCTGCTTGCCACAGGCGGCTCTAGTATTTGTAATCTTAGCAGTGTTAGCACAGCATGATTTCCTGGAAAATTGCGTGGCCTGAAGGATGTACAATCAAACATAAATTCAAGGCTTGTGTTTCCAGGGAGTGGTGCCTGCGCCCAGGCAGTACTACTTGGGAAATACTGCAGAGACGAGGTGCAACGCCTACAGTTGTTATTTCGGACTTCGGAAAGAGGCTATGTTTCCTCAAAGTGTACCTATAGGCTGACCGTACTAAAGACCCCATAGTTGAGGTGCTTATCGTGAAGCTTGGATAGACAAAAGGCATGTAGCGTCTGCCAGCATCACTTCATAGGGATCCTTAGGAGTGTAGGGGGAGGGGGGGTAGGGGGCCTTAAGGCCCATAATAAGGACTAATAAGGCCTATTTAAGGAAATAGAGTCCCCTACACCCCTCCCCCCTACACCCCTAAGGATCCCTATGATCACTTGCACATGAGACTTGCCAGTTTTTGCATTTGTCGTCGAACCCCAGAGGACGAACACATGCACAGGGCCCGAGTTGCTGTCTTAATGATTAACCTAGATTAAGCCTTAATCTAGGGGCCTTAACAGCTACGTATACTATTTTGGGAGTTCCCTATTCTTTTTATAGAAAAACCACTCTATCAAAATTGAAAAGGCCCCTCTCGTAGAGCCGTGCGGTGCGCCGTCACGGTCCGATCCTTCATCCGGACCTGCCGAACGCTAAATCCTCAAACTCGAGGCACAAACGGCTCTTACACAGGTGTTGCCGGGTTTTTGATCTTTGAGCTTGAGGCCATACCAAAAGCACATTCACCCGGTGAGAACATACTTCGTCCTGTCTTAAAGGCTTCACAGTTTCACTACATAAATCTCGCGCAGCTTTACCGTCAGTTCATCGTCAGACGTGGATCAAACAATGCCACGTTGTTTTGAGCAGGGTTCTTCCTTTAGTAAGGTTTGAAGTGTTGTTTCGGTTTGGCCATCACCGTATCACTGCTTGGAGTTTGTACCTGTGTGGCAATTTCTGTGTAAGCCTGACAAAGCTCCGCAGACGAGCTTTCCCTGTAACCGATCAAAAGCAAACTTTCTTGGCCAGCTTGTTCAACAACTGGGTCCTAGCTAGCCGCTAGCCTTAAGCCTTATTCCCTTAATACGTGTGGTCCATTGCATATTCTCTGGGTCTTTCTGAGTATGCAGGGCTTCCAAATACAAGTTTGGGGCTATTCCTGACTCCGGGGATATTGGCCTCTAGTGGGATGCTACATTCTTAACCCTGAACCCTCAACTCCAAACCCGATACCCTAAACCTTGAACCCCGAACCCCTAAACTCTAAACCCCTAAACCCCTAACCCCTAAACCCCTCTACCCTGTCCCTAAACCCTATACCCCAAACCCTAAATGCTAATCCCTAAACCCCAAACCCCTACACCCCAAACCCTAAACCTTAATCTTGCTATCGGATTTATCGCCTCTCCCTGCAGGTCGCGGGTCATGCCGATTCTTTTCCACGGCGCCGCTGTTCCCCAAGGGCTAAGGGTTTACTGTAGGAGGCTAAGTAATCCAATATTGTTCCTATGGTGCTGATTATAGTTATAGTATAAAGGATCCCAAAACCCTATTCTAGTTGTTAAGGCCCCTATATTATACCCTTATATAGACCCTTTCAAGGGACCCTATTCTGATTGTTAAGGCCCCTATATTAGGGTTTAGGTTTAAAGCCGTTACGCCTAATCTTTGACAACTTGCAGGTGCCACACCCCTCAAGCAACATCAGCTCGAACCCTAAACCCCAAACCCGAAACCCTAAACTCTTAACCCCTAAACCCCTAAACCTCAAAGCCCTGAACCCTTAACCCTAAAGCCTTTGCGTCGCCGTGGCCCGACAATGCGTTCCCGAATAAAATGCTTCAGGAGGGTGCCTCCCCAAACTTGCTGTGCAAAATCCAGCGGCAATCTCGATCTCCGACCCAGGCTCCTAGACCCTGTAAGCCCTAAAACCCAACTTAAGCCCTAAAGCCATACCTGGACCCTGAGGAACCTACCTTTTTAGGGTTCCCTAATATGATTTCTTTATACAAGTCCTTAAAAAGGTGAGTTACTTAGGGTTAAGGTAAGCCCTAATCCCTCTCAATCCTGAGGATGCCTCCTTTGCTGGCCAGGGCGTCTGCTACGAGACCTTGCAGCCACTCGCTAGGGTTTAGGTTTAGGACCTTAGAGTTTAGGGGTTTAGGGGTTTTAGGGGTTTTAGGGGTTTAGGGTTTGGGGTTTAGGGGTTTTAGGTTTAGGGTGTGGGGTCTGCATTTATCATTCTCCTGAACCTAACCCATGTAGACCGTAAACTCTAAACCTAAGCCCCAAACCTAGCTGCCATAGATAATGATTATAAACCCAAAATCTAAGCCATTTACAGGTGGGTAGTTATATGGTGGGTAGTTTCCCATAAGCCTCCCATACCACTCCTATAAGGTAAAGGGGGTCTTATGGGAGTACTATGGAAGAAGAACTACCCACCTGTAAGGGGCTTCTACTAAAGCCGATGCTGCCTTAGCCTGAGCCACGACCGTGAAGATTCGTTTGCTTCAGGATCTTTGGGGGGCTAGGGCTGTCGGGGACTAGGGTCGAGAGAAGCATCGGAATTCAATATGGGAGTGTCCGAAAATAGGGGTGCCTTATTTAGGGGTCCTTATAACAAGGATCCTACTATTTAGGGTGCTATATTAGGGTCCCCTATTTTCGGAAACCCCCATATAGAGACTTGAATAAGTACTATCTCTACTCTTTCTTCTTCAGGTTATCTAGATGCCGGATTGTTAAGATCCCTATTCACCCTAAACCCTAAACCCTGAACCCTATTCATATTATGGTTGCAAGGTTTGAGCGGTCTGGGGTTTGAAGCGGCTTGTGGAGCCGGGTGATAGGGACAACTAAAGTAAAAGCCAGAAAGTTGAAATATGATTATCCTAAACTGTTTATGGTAGGTTATGAGGTATCCTACCCTGAAACCATATTCCAACTTTCTGGAGTTCCCTTTACTTACCTTGCAAGCTTTCTCCAAAGAACCCCCAAACCCTCCACGGTAAACCCGAACCCCTAAAACCCTAGAGCCTCCCAAGCCCCTCAACCCTGAAAGCAACACTCTAGACCCCCAAAACCCTACCTATAGTTTCCATTGTAGTTCCTTTTTTGCTTAACCAAAATCTCTATTATAGGATCCTGACCATAAAACTGGTTAACCAAAAAAAGAACTACGATGGAGACTGTACTTACCGTTGATTAGTAGGGAATGGAGGAATGGTTACAATTATAGCTACTACTACTACTACTACTACTACTACTACTACTACTACTACTACTACTACTACTACTACCATTCTTCCATTCCCTACTAACCAACGGTAAGTATAGGTAAACCCTGAAGCATCAACCCCCGAGCTGATAAGTGACACGCCCATGGTCTCTAACCCAGGCTGGCGCATGTCACGGAGTTCGACGCCCCCTGGCTTTGAACATAGGGATGTAGGGTTTAGGGTCCAGAGTTTAGGGGTTCAGGGTTTAGGGTCCAGAGTTGATGGTTGAGGGTTTGGGCATGTTTAGTAAATCTGCAAAAGAGCCTTGATGGTTAGAATATGGCTCCCAGACAGGTTTCTGTATCGGGTGTTCATTTCATTCTTCTGGCTTTGCCTGGGCATACTTAGGAGTTTGAGTCTCAGGATCAGGACGAAACAAAAGCCCCAACTGAGTAGCCTGGCTCCTGATGGACGAAGGTCGGTGGCACTATCCACGTCATCATCAACAACCAGGTCCGGTTTGGTTCGGGTCGCAAGTCGTCTTTCAGATGTGGCACATGATCTGTCGCCCTAAATCCTCAACCTGAACCCTAATCTGTGCCACTGCTCGTTGAGTCCCCACAGACTGCTTGTGCAGTCCGGCACAGGGGTGCAATAGGGTCAAGGCTTGCCTCGGCTTCATAACAAAGGTGCCCCAGTGCCTGGAGCAGTTTTCTTTCGATATTATATAAGGGTTCCGTCAAGGGTTCCTGTAAGGGGTCTATAGGGTTTAGGGTTTAGGAGACTCCACCAATCGCTTAATTAATATGACGGCGAAGTATGTGCGATTCTGATCCGGGAACCCTAGAGAATGATGCTAGTAACTACTCCCTTTGCGTCCTAAACCCTAGACCCTAAAGGAACCCTAAACCATTCTTCGTAGCTCGGAACCGCTTGGTAGTGTGGTGCCCTCGGCCACTGTACCCACAAACTCCTCGTTAAACCCCAGGCATGCTCAGCCCGTAAACCCTAAACCCTATTTAAAGGATCATGGGACTTAGTTATTGGGGTTCCTTAAAGGGAATGTCTAGGGGTACTACAAGGGTTTAGGGTTTATAGGGTAAACTTAAAGGATCATGGGACTGAGTAATTGAGGTTATAAGTACCTTGATTAAGGTACTTATAACCCTACTTACTAAGTCCCATGACCCTTCAAGTAAGCCTCAACCCCGACCTGAACCCAAAGCAACCTCCTTTTTCTTGGGGGGTGTGGTTTTCTTCTTGTGATTTCCTTATACGAGTCCTTACAGCTGTAAGTTCTTTGAGGTTAAGGTGGGGTTTAGCGTTTAGGGCTATATAGACTAAATCATCCTAAACCCTTAACCCCAAAGCCCCAGAGCAGAAGCCAAACTCATCTTAAACTCCTCATCCACCCTACAGTAGAAGCCGGAAAGTTGGAACATCATTATCCTCATGCCCTTAAGGTAAAGCATACGGGATCCTAGCACTAATCCTCCTAAAGCCATGTTCCAACTTTCTGGCTTCTACTGTAAACCCCCAGACCTCCTTAACACCTCAAGACCCGAAGCACAAGCCAAACTCGTGCTGTTGGCCTTCAGGCTCAGGCACCAAAAGAAGCACCCAACATTCTTGGATATCCAAACTTCTTGTTTGATATACGGTGCTGGACAATTACCGACACTCATCCAAAACACTTTCCTAATTGTTAGCGCCCCTAATTATACTCTTACAATAGCCCTTATAGTAGCCCTTATATGCCTGTTACAGGATTAAGGCCCCTCTAGTATGTGCTTTTCTGGGCCCCTATTCAGGTGGGCTTCACCACGGACCCGGTCGATGACCGCTCCACGCTGTACTCTTCGGACCTGGGCAAAGGCAACATCCCAGGTTCAGGGTGCCTTTAAGGGCTTCCTTAAGGGTTTAGGGTTTAAGGAATTCTACAAGGGTTTAAGGGTTTAAGGAATTCTATAAGGGTTTAAGGGTTTAAGGAATTCTATAAGGGTTTAAGGGTTTAGGGTTTAGGCTTGAGGGTGCCTTTAAGGGTCCCCCTCAAGAATTCTACACAGTGCCTTAACGTATTCAGTGAGGCCTTAACCTATTAAGTGAGGCCTTAACCTATTAAGTGAGGTTTTTGGAAGGTTTCCTATCAGGTTTTTATTTTGGTTGCAATTCTACAAGGCTCGCTGCATGTGAATTGGACAGGCCTTTTGTGATGGGCTCTAACAGGATTTGGTAAGGGTTCTGCAATCCCAAGCCTAAACCCTGACCCGAAGCCCTAAACACTACAAGCCCTAAGCCCTGGGCCCTAAACCCTGAAACCCAAAGCCCTAAACCCCGAAACTTACGGTGTTTTTTGGTGTTTTTGGCATCAAAAACCAAACCCCTAAACCCCTAAACCCTAAACTCTAAAACCCAAAAAGCTACCCATGAGACGTCAGGCTTCGGCCTTCCCGTTCTCCACGTCAACGGCGACGACCCGGCTCCTCCTCTGTGATTTGAAAGTTTTCTTCTTGTCAATCCTAAGCCCTAAACCCTAAACTCAGACCCTAAACCCCAAAACCCTAAACCCGAAACCCTGAACCACGAACCCCTAACCCTGAAAACCCTAAACGCAGACCCCTAAACAGCTTTGCTCTGTTTGTTCTCGTCTGTTTATTGGGTTGAGGATCGGGTTTGGGATTTTCAGGGTTTAGTTGAAACGAATAAGATCCGCTTGCAGGGTTCTTCTGATGGTTTGTTTAAATGAGTCCCTAAACAGCCAGGTTTTTTTTATTTTGTTGCGGTTTAGCAGTTACGTAAACTGTGTGGGATGGTCTGGCTAGATCTTGGCATCGAAGGGCTCGGATGATGGTGTTGCATGTTAGGGTGTTAGGTTTTGGGATGTTGGTTTTTTGGGCTTAGAGTTGGTTCAGGTAAGCCTATTTCTGTGCTCTTGTTCAAAGTGCAGGGTTGAGGTTTGAGGTTCGGGGGCAAGGTTGGTATCGGAGCCATGTGAGCATGTGTCCAGATCTAGAATTTTTTAGCTTCCGGGGGTGGGGGTTTAGAGTCAGTTTAAGGTTTAAAGTTTGGGGAGTTAGTCTGACTAGGTACTGGAACCGGTGGTAATGTGGGACTGCTTGTGTTGAGGACACGTTAAGCTCCTCTGCAGAACACGGTAAGACCCTGAAAGCCAGAACAGGTGGCAGTTACCTCGGCCTTCCAGCTGGCTGCGGAGTGGCGACAGACCTGGGGACAGGATGCTCCGAACTCAGCCAGCAACCCTACACACGGAATCGAAACAACCTGTTTTGGGTGTAGATGTTGGAATTACTGATTTGACAGACTTAATCCCTTCCCCCTAATATTACATAAACGGGGGGCCCTCCCCCCAATAGAAACGATGAAAGTGTTTTATGCATTAGGGTATATTTTTATCTCTACTGTTACTTTTGAGGGCTCTTGCTCTCTCTCCTGCGCCTGCTCTTGCTCTTGATCCTGCTCTCCCTGCTGCGTTTGCTCTTGCTCTTGCTTTTGCTTTCACTCCAGCTCTTGCTCTTGCCTTTGCTCTTGCTCGTGCTCTTGCTCCGGATCCCCCTAATGCAAATTGGGTTTGAAAGGGCAGGGGTGATTTCGGGAGGATTCGCCCCAATGTGTTTTATTTGGGCGTGTTTAATAAAAGGGGTAAGGGATTAGTGTTCGTGAATGCAAAACCTTCGCTTCAAAATCCTAAGTTGCAATTGGCAAAGGATTATGATAATAGCAGCGCTCCCACCAAAATCCCAAACCGACCATCATCTTCGTTTCAGCGTCCCTCGTGATCCTATACAATGACTCTTGGCAGAGAGACAAGACCTCCGATGAATTCAAGCAGCGTCTCCCACGCATAGCAATGTGAAGTTTGCCGTTGCCCTCAAACCTAAACCGAAACCCTAGACCAATGTGAATCACATGCTTCTGGTTTATGGTTTTGGGCTCTTTTGGTCGAGTGAGGTTTAGAGTTGAGGGTTTCCGGGAAAAGCGGCTTAGGTTGTGGCTTTTAGACTGGAATATGGGGGTGTTCTTGCGCGTGTTTGCTGGCTCATCGGCAATGTCATTGGAAACGCACAGACCGCATACCGTACCCATAAGGCCTAGAATGGATTAGTTCGCCAGTTTCCTCCCGAGGCTCTGTATTGCCGTCTTTATGTCACGAACAATGACTGACTATCTACGTCTCTAAAGCCGCTATGATGTATGGATCTCTTTGCATGCAGATGTTGTCCCCGAAATCCCTTGGACCCACCCCAGCAAAATTCCTAGTATTTCATCAGGTGATCGTTGACGTGATTTGTTACCGACGCTTCGGGCACAACGAGACGGCAACTCGGAGAGATAAGAGCATACTTGGAGGATCATGGGACTTAGTAAGTAGGGTTCCTTAGAGGGTTCCTTAAAAGGGATCTATAAGGCGTACCATAAGGGTTTAGGGTTTAAGGATCATGGGACTTAGTAAGCAGGGTTATAAGTTCCTTAATTAAGTTTATATGTAACTATAACTGTAGTCACCTTACTTATAACCCCAATTACTAATTCCCATGGTCCTTTAAGTAGGGTACCCAAGAGTCTTTTTTGCACGACCGTCGAGGATGACAGGTTACATCCCATCCATACTTTAGGGTTTAGGGTTTAGGGTATACTTTAGCACCTGCAAAACATGAGCTCGCTGGCAACAGCAAAGTGCCAACTCCACGGGAAGCGCAGTAAGTGATGATTCAGTTTCAGCGCCTCAAGTGAGAGCAGCCGCCCAACCCTAAACCCTAATATAGGAGCCTTAATAATTACCTATCGTTTTTTTTTGGGGGGGTTCCTTATTTAACTACAGACCAGTGGACCCCAAAGCCCTATTCTACTTAGATTAAGGCCTCTGCATTAAACTGGTCTGTCTTGGAAGTCTGTGACCATGAAGCCTCAACCATGGTCTTCAATCTACTTAACTTTGGCTAGTAGGGAATGGAAGAATGGGGCCTATAAGGAGTACTATAAGGGATCTATAAGGGTACTATAATATAGGGGCCTTAACAATTGTCTTATAATCTTACCTTTGGGGAATGGCAGAATGGTAGTAATAGTAGTTATAATTGTACCCCATTCCTCCATTCCCTGCTAACCAAAGGTAAGTCTAATTAACCTCGATGCATCCAAGGATGCTCCGGAGTACACCCAGCCGGTGCTCTACAAGAAAATTAACAAGCATCCCAGGAGCTGCTGGCTTCAGGGTTCAGGGTTTAGGGTTTGGGGTTTAGGGCTTAGGGTTTAGGGTTTAGGGTTTGGGGTTTAGGGTATGGGGTTTAGGGTTTAGGGTTTAGGGTTTGGGTTGAGGGGTTTAGGGTCTAGGGTTGCGAGCAGGGGGTAAATTTACGGCTTGGGGTTGTAAATCCTCAGTGTTAAGCCCTGAACCCTTAGTGCTTATAGGGTTTAGGGTTTAGTTTTTGTTTGGGGATATGGGGTTGTATCAGTGTTCCGTATGAGTTTCGGGCTTCAGAGTTATAGGGGGTGGAGATGTCGAGACTAAGGCTTGGGTGGGTGCCTGAATTTTGAGGCGCTCGTACAATGCCTTCGAAAAGCCGTTAAAGTCGTCCAAGACCCTTTTGAAAGCTCTGAGTTTTTTCGGAAGCTACCGAATGACTCCCGAAGGACGCACGTCGTTTTCGAAGAGATCCTTGCTCTGCAGCCAAAGCCCACATGGGCAAACTTGGGTTCAGGCTTTCATGAGGTCTAGGTTTAGGGGTTTAGGTTCCGGGGTTAGGGTTTAAGGGTTAGGTGTTGTAAGAACCGCCTTCAATTTGAAGGATCCAAAAGCTTATAATGAGGGTGATTTCACGGTTTTTATGTGTTCCATTACGCTGTCGGAGTTTCAGATCCGTTAAAGAAATCAAAGGGCTGCAGGGCTGCCGGTTCAGGGGTTTACGGCCGGAGGCTTCGGGATTCAAAGAGACCTGCATACCCGCTTGCCCTTTCTGTTTCAGTTTAGGGTTTAGGGTTTAGGTCCCCTTGTTAAAACCGAACAGTAGGAAAAAAGGGTACCCCGTATTGTACCGGGGCTACTCAGGAACCTAGAATAAAGGTATTTGGGTTGCAGGGTTGGAGGAAAGTTTTAAGCCCTTTAAGTTAAGTTACCCTAAAGGTTGCCGGGTACGCCCTAAACCTTACCTTTGGTTCGTAAGGAATGGAAGAATGGTAGTAATAGTAGTTATAATTGTACCCCATTCCTCCATTCCCTACTAACCAAAGGTAAGTGTCCCTTTAAAGGAACCCTAAACCCTATAGATCCCTTTAAAGGAACCCTATAGATCCCTGGTCAGAAACCCAGCGACTGGCAGCCGAAGCCCAGAACTAATCCAAGTTCTTGTCGAGTCAGCTGAGGAAGCTTCTTGGCAGCGGTGTGATGTCGCAGGCCAGCGGCTTAAGACCTCTATGTAGCGGTCGAAATACATGGTACGACGGGCTCCGGACAAATTATGATAGTAGAATGGTGCATAGTGTAGGCCAGAACACCTATTCCGACTATCAAGGCACCTATAACACCCAAGCCACTAAACCCCCAAAAAAACACCCTGCACAGAAATTCTAAACAATACCTTATAAACCCTATACTCTCATTACTCAGGCCCTAAATTCGACTCAAGGAGTGTAGGGCGTGCGGGATGGTTCGTAGAGGGTACCGTAGGGGTGGGAATACCCTGACCTTGTAAGGACTTACCAGTTCAAGGGGCCCGAAGACCATGCTATATATAGTTAAGGCCTAGGACCCAGAGTAAGCCCTTATTCCCTGCTTTTAGGGTTCAGGTTCCCTTATTGCCCCCTTGAAACCAAGAAGGGCATTGTTTTTCCTAGGTTGCTCTTAGGTCTAGTATACAAGGTTTTTGGGCCAATTTGAGTCTTAGGGGGCGGATGGCAGCAGTGTCCCTACATGTTCCTTGCATTTCTTGTCCTCCCGCCATGTATAGGGCTTATAGGGATGAGGGTTTGGGGTTTGGAGTTCAGGGATTGGGGTTTGGGGTCTATTCAAGCCTATTGGTGTCATGACAAACCTGAACTCCCGAACGCCTCAGCTCCACAATCCGTAAACAAGAACTTCATAAATCAACAAATCTTACACCCACGTCCACCCCAGTAAGACAAAATGCTTTCCTGGCTCCCTGAAATCTTAAGTAGGTAACCTGAAAATCCCACAGGTAGCCTTTACAGTAACCTTGTAATTGTAGTACCCAGTACCCTTCACTTATATTCGTACCTGTTAATGAGACCTTACTTGAAGGATCATGGGACTTAGTAAGTGGGGTATAAGTAAGGTAACTACTACAGTTATAACCACTTATAGCCCCAATTAAGGTACTTATAGCCCTACTTACTAAGTCCCATGGTCCTTTAAGTACAGTATCCCAAATCCTAATTTCACGGAGGCTGAGATCGACTCCGTCAAGGGCAATCTTTGGAAGCAGCATGAGGAGGTCGGGTTGGTGTCTTCGAGTGTTCTGTGGCTTTTGCGGTCTGAGGTTTTGGGCATTAGGCTTTTCAAGGCCGCGTTTTAGCGTTTAGGGCTTTAGGGTATTTTGGGCTCGTAAATTAATGAAGATAACTATTATGTGGTATCGCTATGAGTTGGGAGGTAGGTTTTCATGTTTAAGGTCTGATACAACCGTATAGTATGTATATATATATATATATATATATTTATCACTTTACAGTGTGTATCTAAATGTATGTAGATATAGATAGAGAGAGGCAGTCAATATACATACATACATACATACATACATACATACATGTATATATATATATATATATATATATGTATCGACGTATACACATACATGTACACCTATGTATAATAAGTGTACACAAAGATGTGTGTGTGTGTGTCTCTGTGTGGGGTCTCACCCTTCCCCATGATCCTCTAAGGTACTATCTCTGCAAATTCGGAGTGCAACCAAAATCTATATTATAGGAGCCTAGCCATAAAACTGGTCAACCAAAAAAGGGAACTACAATGGAGACCATAGGTATCTCTGCAAATTCGGAGTGCGGGGCCAGAGTTGCTCAGCGGTTGGGAGTTTCCGGGGAAACTTCGATTCCTGCCGCATCACCACAGCACCATCCTTCGAAACTGACCCTCAGGCGAAAGCCCCTAAACCTCAAATCCTAAACCCTAAACCCAATACCCTAAACCCTATAACCTAAATCCAAAGCCCTGTTTCCTGAACCCTACATTGCCCAAAAGCCCATCTCCCACACCCAAATCCTTTCTCCAAAGCTCTATATCCTGAACCCCATAAAGTTGGAAACCGGATTAGGGCCAAATAGTGCTGGGATTCCCGATACATTCTCTTGAGGATTGAGGCTGTTGGGTTTCCAACTGTATATCCTGAACCCTATACCCTCATCCCTACTAAACCCAGCCGAAACAGGCTTTCAAAGAGGCGGACAGCTTCAAGCCGGATGAGGACATTCCAACGTGTACATACCCTAATGGTCCTGTCGGGGTTCCTTCCCAGAGACTCCAATATCCCTTAATTAAGGAATATTCCTTTTTAAGACTTTGGGTTTAGGGGTTTAGGGTTTCTTAAGACTTTGGGTGCAGGGCTTAGGGTTTCTTAAGACTTTGGGTTTAGGGCTTTAGGGTTTCTTAAGACTTAGGGTTTACGGGTTTAGGGTATCTTGAGACTTTGGGTTTAGGGGTTGAGGGTATCTTAAGACTTACACCCAAATCCCCGAGAGGACATGGGCAACTGGGTGGCCACGAAGTGGGAGGGTTACGTGCGCCCCACGGACAAGGCGCAGTCGCATCCCACAGGAGCCACTCGGGGAATAATTCCTTCAACGCTTCCTTCAAGAGTTCCGGTTATCAAAGTGGTCCAGGGGTCGGATGAAGCTAGGTCCCAAAATAAGCGTCTTCATATAAGGGATCCTGAATCCTACCTACATTCATCCCACCTTTCGAGGCCTTCAAGGGTATTCCTTAAGGGCTGCTTTTGGGGATTAGGCAAACTACTGTAAGGGTGCTATGTGTCTAAAGGGCTACAGTGGAGGAGGTTCAGCTGTTGGTTGATGGAGCATCCTAATTCCTAAAACCTAACGCCGAATTTGTATAGAAACCTTTACACACCCGTATCATAGAAACCGGTTGGAAACCCATGTAGAAACCCTGGCCAAGCACCTTTTACAAATCCTTACAGATACCCTCTTTGGTAACCTTGTGCATCTAACCCTAAACCCCAAACCCTACTTAAAGGATCATGGGACAAGTAAGGTAACTACAGTTATAATTACTGATAGCCCCAATTAAGGTACTTATAACCCTACTTACTACATCCAAGTACCCACTCTTTGGTAACCTTGTGTGCCCCAAAAAGGAGTTGACCTTGAGCTTCTGAAGTCTATCGGCGCAAAGCTGTGCGCAGTCCCGGAGGGCCTCTGGGTCTGAATTTACAAAGAAGCTCCCCAGAGACTCCAACATCCCTTAATTAAGGAATATTCCTTAAATCATATTAGGGATCCTACTATAATTTAAGGTATATTCCTTAATTAAGGTATATTGGAGTCTCTGGGTCGGGCCTCTTGAAGGGATCTGTAAAGGGTCCTTTATAAGGGCTTGATCTGCAATTAGAGTTCAGGGTTTGTGCAGAACGGTTACAAACTCGACCTCTTAGCTAGCGTATGATGAACCCAAGAACCTGCTCTAATATGTATATATATATATATATATATATATATATGTATGTATAATATATATATATATATATATATATATATATATATAGGCGGGCTAAGGGCTCAGGATTATGGTCTAGGGCTGAGGGTTCAGGGTTTGGGTTCAGAGCTCAGGGTTGAGGGCTTCTGGGTTACGTAATGCGACGTAAGGTTTGGGGCTGTATAGGGACATGCGATTCAGACAAACTACGTACGGATTTAGGATGACAGATGAATTCCTTCATGGGTTCGACATAAAGCCCCAACTACAGATGATTTTGAAGGCTGTTGAATCCAATACAACATGCTTTGGCAGCGTTGGCTTCGGTGTTGATTGTGCATGTGTTGTTTTGTTCTGTTGTCGTGCTTGGGCTGAAACATCGGGTGTGGATTGATTTCTACCATTTCTCACGGGTTATTGCCTAAACCTCTAAACCCTAAATCCTGAGATCCCGTGGGAGCTGTGGACACGGTTAGGTTCAGGGTTCGGGGTGTTGGTTTAGGTGCAGTGGTCATTTTCAGAGCTGATATGGGCTTTAACTAGTTGCTAGTTGGCAACAGCAGTCATGCCCTTGTAGTTCAGTCAGATTTCTACTCTACTGTACTTTCAGGCGCTATTTCTAAAAGCATAGCAAGGCCCCGACAGTAGCAACAGGGGGTCGTTGAGCCCAGCCACTGCTTTTCCCGTACAGTAGAAGCCAGAAAGTTGGAATATGACTATCCTAACCCTTCTATGGTAAATTATAGGGTATCCTACCATGAAACCACATTCCAACTTTCTGGAGTTCCCTATACATGGGTAGTTCTCTATATCAGGGTTCCTTTTTGGGTCTTTTATATACGCGTGCCGTACTCTGCCGGGGGCACTTTAACAGGGACCCAAATTTAGAGAACTACCCATATATCGGAACCCCTAAACCCAAAGCCCCTAAACCCTAAGCCGCCAAAACCCCTACACCCTAAACCCTATACTCAAAACCCCTACACCCCTAAACCCTAAACCCTTAACCCTTAAACCCTAAACCCCTAAACCTCTAAACCCTAAACCCTAAACCCTAAACCCCCTAAACCCCAAACCCTAAACTCTAAAAAATCCCTAAACCTTTAACCGCCAAAACCCCTACACCCTAAACCCCTAAACCCTAAACTTACCTTTTGTTAGTAGGGAATGGAGGAATGGGGTACAATTCTAACTACGATTTCGACCATTCTTCCATTCCCCAAAGGTAAGATTATAAGATAATTATTAAGGCACCTTTATTATAGTACCCTTATAGATCCCTTATAGTACTCCTTATAGGCCCCATTCTTCCATTCCCTACTAACCAAAGGCAAGTAAAGCCCGCAGCTGGAAAGCCCTGAATCTGAGGAGCTCCCTAGGATTTGGGGCATCGTGCGAAGGCGTATCTAGTCTATTTTGGAGTTTAGTGTTTGAGGTATTAGGGATGGTCCTAAATAGAGACCAAAAATCTAGTCTCTCTATTTAGGAGTTTAGGGTGTGGGTTGTAGGGACATTATCCAGTCTCTGTAGTATCTTTGCTGAGGTTTCAAGCTGCACAACGGCTTGAAACGCCAGCTCAAGAAGAAGCTGGAGGACTGCTCAAGCCTCGGGTTTCACGTAAATAGGGTCCCATGAGGGCTCCATTTAAAGGGCGTCCTTCAAACGGTTCCTATGTAGGGTTCCTTTACATGGGGGGTCCAGGCTCGTAAAGGTTTGTACAAGGGTTCGCGGCTCTGTCAGGTACCCAGAGACTCCAATATCCCTTGGTCAAGGTATATTCCTTAAATCCAAACAAAACAAACTAGGGCCCCCAACCTGAATTTAGGTATCCTCCTTCGTTCAGGGATATTGGAGTCTCTGGGTATAAGAGTTCTATTAGACTTGGTTCTGGGGCGTTTAGGCTTTTCTCTTTGGCCTGTGGTCTCGCATAGCATGTAGGACTGCCACAGGTTTGCAGTTGTCAACTACGGACCAACGAGCCACATAAACACGTTTCTCTCTTGTACCCCAATGATTTGTCATCCTTGCTGAAGAAAGGGCTTATCGTTCAGGGGTCTTCATTGTTAAATCATATTGAATCCACCTTCCTGGCCTCAGAAACCCAAACCTATACCCTAAACACTAGCCGGCAACACTGGAGACCCTAAACCCAAAACTTAAAGGAAAACCCTCATCACCTTCAAACGTCGAGGTGTAGGTGCTGTTGTGGATTTACCATGTAAAAGCAGGAAGGTTTGTGGGCTTAGGATTTGAGAATGCCTACCATCTGCCATATACGTGCATGATGGTAACTTAGACTATTCATAACAATGAAGCCCGTGAAAAAAAAACATGCAAGCCCCTGTAGAAGTTAAGTTCGTCAACAATGTGACCCTTAAAATCCCGCACGGCCCTTAAACCCCTGAACCCCTAAACCGTGCTGTTCAGGGGGAGCTGCGGCTTAGGATTTCAGTGCAGGGTGTAGGAACTTGGGGTGTGGGTTTGGGGTTTAGGGCTTCAGAGCTTAGGACTACTTCAAGGGTCATGGGACTTAGTAATTGGGGATATAAGTAAGGTAACTACACTTATGATTACTTCTAACCCCAACTAGGATACTTATAACCATACTTACTAAGTCCCATGATCCTTAAAGCCTAAACCTTTATGGTACCCCTTATAGATCCCTTTTAAGGAACCCTTTCAGGAACCCTACTTACTAAGTCTCATGATCCTCCAAGTAGAGTTTGAGGGCTGCAGGTCGCGGGTTTCAGGGCTTAGCTTTCTTGCTGCGGCGTGGTAGGATGTGGTGCCGAAGCCTTAGGGTTCAGAGTTTAGGGTTTAGTAGGGTTTAGTAGGGTTTATTAGGGTTTAGGGTTTAGGGTTTGTTAGAGTTTAGGGTTTAGGGTTTGTTAGAGTTCAGGGTTTATTAGGATTTAGGGTTTATTTGGGTTTAGGGTTTGTTAGGGTTTAGGGTTTAAGTAAACCAACACTCTCTGCTCTGGAATCTGCCTTGGTCCTCGACATCCCAACTGACTGATAAATTCGTGGTTTTTTTTCGTACGACGTCAGGCTTCATTTATTGCGGTACTTGAGGTCATTTAGGCTTCTCATCCATCAACAGCCCCCACAGAATCAGACGTGAAACTGTGAAACCTGAAGGACATCGAGGGAGGAGAAACCCTCGATTGGGCCACCGCAGAGGTCCTTCCGTTGGCTGTTGGTAGGATTGCTTTGCATTGTTTCATGGTTATCCATATTCGGCTTCTTCAGGAGCTGTACTGAAACCGTCGCATTTTCCGACCAAAGGCTAGCCATTGGTGCAGAGGTCTTTCCGGCATGTTAAGGGCATTGGGTCGGGGTGTGTTGCCTATACCACACACGCATGTCATATCTGTAAGTAGTAGATTGTTGTCCCCGTACCCGTTGACTCCAATGTCCGTTAATGAAGGACCAGGAGTATACCTTAAATTATAGTAGGATCCCGAATATGATGTAAGGAATATCCCTCAATTAAGGAAATCCCTTAAATTGTAGTAGGATCCCCAATATGATTGAAGGATTATTGCTTAATTAAGGGATATTGGAGTCTCTGGGTAGTGGTGCTCCAAGGCTAGATGCCAGACAGATCGCCACAAAGACCTCAACCCTCAACTTGCCTCATAGCGCCTCAACCTCGGATCTTAGGGTTTAGGGGTTTAGGGTTTTGGGGTTTAGGGTTTAGGGGTTTGGGGTTTAGGGGTTTAGGGTTGGGGTTTAGGGTTTAGGGTTTCTACACCGCCTGGTTCCTAGAGTGAGCGGTGAGGAGTAGCAAAACATCTCGAGGTTGGCCTTTCATGGCAGTCTCGTAGTTAAGCTTGCAATGCCTCCGCGTGGAAGCAGCCGGCAGCTCATACTCTGAGTCCAAAACTTCTCAGAGAGCCCAATACCCCTTAATCAGGGAATATGGCCTAAATTGTATAGGGCTTCATAATATGGTTTAAGCTATATTCCTTAATTAAGGGGTATTGGGCTCTCTGGGTTACTGTGCTGCGGCAGCAGGTGGACATGGACCATCGGAAGACATGGGTGTTAGATGCCTGTATCACCTCGTCGAAGCCCTCGTGAGCCCAAGCCTGCTAGAACCGCGGTTCTCACACTCATGAGCCTCCCTATAGATAATGAACTCGAGTACTCCAACCCCAAAGCCCCCAGCGCCGAAGCCAGCGCATCAGCCCTAAACCCCAAACCCTATACCCTAAACTTCTAAACCCTTAAACCCCTAAACCCTGAAAACCTAAACCCCAAACCCTAAACCCCTAAACCCTAAACCCCTAAACCCCTAAACCCTGAAGACAATAAACCCTGAACCCATCAACACCATAAGCTGAAGGCCCCCCCAGTCCCAGCAGCCCAATACCCCGAGACACCAAGTCCTAAACCCGCAGCCCCGAGACGAAGCCCCAGAAGCTTCAACCCAACCCTAAGCGCCCAAGTTCAGGGTTTAAGGCCGTGCCTAAACCCTAAACCCATAAACCTCAAACCCATAAAGCCCTAAACTCTAAACCCTAAACCCCTAAACCCCTCAACCCCTAAAACCTAAACCCCAAACCCTAAACCGCCCCACATCCTACAGCCTAAACCGCTGGCCAGAACGGTCAGGCCCTCGCATTCGCCTCTTTGCTTCTGGAAGGCCTTTTGGGGCCCATTTTAGGGTTTAGGGATTAGGGTTTAGGGATGTGCTTCAGGTCGAAACGAGGATTTGGCGTCTGATTAAAGTCTCCATTGCACTTTTTTTTAGTTCGGATCCTGTAACATAATATTGGGTAACCACAAAGGAGTTACACTGGAGACAGCAGGTAGTTGTTGATGTCTGCTCTTCTCGGTGGGCATCACTGTCACTAGCGGATTTGAAAGGTCAGCTGTGGTTTAGAGCTCACTTTTCTGTAGAGTTTACAGTCGGGTTTAGGGTCTGCTTGGAGGTTCATGGGTAGTTATAAGTGGAGTTATAAGTCCCTGAAAAGTGTACACTTTTGGGGGCTTATCAGCTCAGCAACTAAGATTCCAAAAATACCTAGTTCTCGTAATCTTTAGTGTGCACGGTCAGTCAGTCTTCTATCTTGCACTGTTCGCACTTCAGGCTTTCACAGAACAGTGAGGGATCATGACCCTAAACCCTATGGAAGGGGAGAAGAGTGACATTCGCGTTTGGTCCTAGGGTCTACCCGTGGCTCCAAGAAAATCGTCCTTTGTCTAGGTTTCCTGGTTCTATAGTTAATCTGTACAGTTCCTCAAGAAGGTAGGTTTTGGCCCACAGGTAGGATTTAGGCTCAGGCCTCGGTGGTTAAACTGGTTTGTTCAGCGGCATATGTCTTTTACTGTTTCTGCTTCAATATGGCTAGGTAAATAGCCGAACTGCCTACTGAAGGTTTTTTTTAACTGCACGTAAATCTGACATCTAGTCTGCGCAGGGTGTTAAGAACAATTCTGTGTTGAGCCGGGGTGTGCCCATTGAGGCAACCACGTGCGAATCACAGGATGCTCGGCAGTATCAGCAGTTCTAAAGAGGCGAAAGAGTTGGCAGCCGTTTTCTCTTATGGTCCCTGTATAGTTATGGTATAAGATGGGCTAATAAATAAAAACAATATCCTGTTCTAATCTGTTCTCATTGTTTAAGGCTTCTGTATTCTCGGCTATTTGCTTCGGGTGTAGAAGTAGCCATAGCCGAACCCCGAAGCGTCGGGCAACTGAAATATTGCAGTTCTGATTCAGGGCTTAGGGTTTGGGGTTCTTGTCAAGCATTATCCAAGGGTGAAAGGAGGGACCCTTAATAAGGACCCCTAGGTACATACCCTTAATATAGCCATTATAGACCCATTATATAGCCCATTATAGGGTGGGGTCCCCATTAAGGGTCCCTCCTTCTCCCCTTTGACACTACCTCTGTGTGGTTTAGGACTTGGGGGTTTGGGATTTCAGCGGTAGAGTACTTTAAAACCCCACTCTCAACCGTCTGGGTCAGGGTTGAGACCTAAAGGGTGGGGGAGGGGGGGGGGGGCGTTGCGGGGTGCAGGGCTCAAGATCGCTACAGGGTCTCATGGCCAGAAGCTCTGGTTGAAAGGCTTTGGACTACTTGGAGGATCATGGGACTTAGTAAGTAGGGCTATAAGTACCCTAACTGGGGTTATAAGTTGTTATAACTATAGATACCTTACTTAGGACTTATAACCCCAAGTACTAAGTAACATGATCCTTTAAGTAGGCACTGTAGTGCGGGAGGCCGCTGGTCGTGGGCACAAGCGCCCTCAGGCGGCCGTCCTAACGGGAGCACCAATAAGGATACTTAAGGGCGGAGACGAGAACGAAGCGCAAGCGAATCTTTCGTGACAAGCTTTCCATCAAGCTTCACAGCTGGAACTCTACTTGGAGGATCATGGGACTTACTAGGTAGGATTATAAGAAGTACCTTAATTGGGGTTATAAGTAATTGCAACTCTAGTTGCCTTACTTACAACCCCAAGTACTAAGTCCCATGATCCTGTAAGTAGCCGTGGTGTCAATAAGAAGGCTCAGGCACGGCTGTGGCATCGAAGTCGCGAAGCCCTTCATCCTGAGCCCCACACCCTCAACCCCTAAACCCTAAACCCTAACCCCTAAACCCTAAACCCTAAACCCCTACAAACCCCCAACTCTGAGCCGGCGAAACGCTATCTATAGAGCCCTAGAGTACTTCTTAAAGGACCCCTTAACCCAAAGGGTCCTATGTACCGATATAGTAGAATGTAGGGTTTCCATATTAGGAATTACTATTATGACTTAGGGAAGTATCCCCCATAACAGTAATGTGCCGGTCGGTTTAGGAATATGGGCTCCTTTAATGCGTCGGCTCGGGGGCTAATTCCGACCGGTCCCACAAATTTGGGCTTGGTCTAATTAATGCGTTTTTTTTTGGCTGGGGGTATTTTATGGGGGCGAAACTGTGCTGTTTGCTGATGGTCAATCTTAAGGCAGCCACGACCTGAAGCCCCCACCCAAACCCCCACCCAACCCTAAAACCCTGGCCCTGAAGCCCGAAAATCTCTTGCAGAATTGTTTCGCTTATTGGGGCGTCAGGAATGAAAATCTGTACTACTACTGTACTACTATGTACTACTATTCTACTATACCTTGATTATTGGGGGGGCTGCTAGGGTGAACCGCCGAATCGGGGATTGGACCCTAGCTCAAAAGAGGCCTCTCCAGTACTAAAGTTTGTATAAAAAATTCAGTTTTGGGTCGAATCTGGACCGACCCCCCTTTGGAAGGGTTTAGGGCTTAGGGTTTAGGGTTTGTTATAGGGTTTAGGAGTTTAGGATTCGTTAGGGTTTAGGGTTTGTTAAGGTTTAGGGTTCAGGGTTTAGGGTTTCAGGCGCTGGCTTTATGCTTTGCTGATTGGGGGAATGTGCTCACTGGCTTTATGCTTTGCTTATTGGTACTATTTCTGTACTATTACTGTATTATATACTACTGTACTACTGTACTACTGTGGTACTACTACTGTACTACTATTGTGCTACTGTACTACTATTGTACTACTACTGTACTACTACTGTGCTACTATTGTACTACTACTGTACTATTATCGTACTACTACTGTACTACTATTGTACTACCACTGTACTACTGTTGTATTACTATTGTACTACTGCACTATTATTGTACTACTACTGTACTACTACTGTACTATTATTGTACTACGGTACTATTATCGTACTACTACTGTACTACTACTGTACTACTATTGTGCTACTATTGTACTACTGTACTATTATTGTACTACTACTGTACTACTATTGTACTACCACTGTACTACTGTTGTACTACTATTGTACTACTGCACTATTATTATACTACTACTGTACTACTGTTGTACTACCACTGTACTACTGTTGTATTACTATTGTACTATTGCACTATTATTGTATTACTACTGTACTACTACTGTACTATTATTGTACTACGGTACTATAATCGTACTACTATGTACTGTACTACTACTGTACTACTATTGTGCTACTATTGTACTACTGTACTATTATTGTACTACTACTGTACTACTATTGTACTACCACTGTACTACTGTTGTATTACTATTGTATTACTGCACTATTATTATACTACTACTGTGCTACTATTCTACTATACCTTGATTATTGGGGGGGCTGCTAGGGTGAACCGCCGAATCGGGGATTGGACCCTAGCTTAAAAGAGGCTTCTCCAGTACTAAAGTTTGTATAAAAAATTAAGTTTTGGGTCGAATCTGGACCGACCCCCCTTTGGAAGGGTTTAGGGCTTAGGGTTTAGGGTTTGTTATAGGGTTTAGGAGTTTAGGATTCGTTAGGGTTTAGGGTTTCAGGCGCTGGCCCAGACCCCCCCGACCCCCGACCGCGCAGTCGCGCAGAACCGCAGACCCTGCACCCAAGCCAGCCCCCAAACCCCTGCCACTCAGACCCCTGACCCCTGTCCGGGGCTACCGGTTCCGCACTAAACCGACCGCAACTTTTTGGTCGGGGGGGGGGGGGGTACCCCACTATTAATCCGACCGCCACATTACATAGGACCCTTTGGGTAAAAGGAACCCTTTAAAGGAACCCTTTACCCCCAACTCTGAACCGGCGAAACCCTGACTACCGAACCTGAAAAGATTGAACCCCCAAGCCGCTAGCCGCCAACCGCCTACACCCGCACTTACAGGATCATGGGGTCTAGTAGTTGGGATGATAAGTAAGGTAACTACAGCTATAATTAGTTATATCCCCAATTAAGGTACTATGGGGTCTAGTAGTTGGGATGATAAGTGAGCTATCTACAGCTATAAATTACTTATAAGTCCCATGATCCTTAAACCCTAAACCTTATGGTACCCCTTATAGATCCCTTTTCAGGAACCCTTTCAGGAACCCTACCTACTAAGTCCCATGATCCTCCAAGTACACCCTCGTATCCGAAACCCTAAACCCTAAACCCGAAACCCTAAACCCGAAACCCTAAACCCTAAAGCCTAAACCCTAAACCCTAAACCCTGAACCCCGATCTGACTCCACAAACGCTTGGGTTAGGGTTTAGGGATTAGGGTTGGTGTAGGGTTTAGAGTTTACTTGGAAGGGCAGGGGACTTAGTAAGTAGGTTATAAGTAGGGTTATAATTGGGGTAACTCCATTTAGGGTACTTATAACTCTACTTGTAACCTACTTACTAAGTCCCCTGCCCCTCCAAGTAGGGTTTAGTTAGGGTTTAGGGTTAGCCACCTCGTATTGAAAAGCTTAAAACTCCGCTAAACCCTCAACCCTAACCATATCCGAGGACAAGATGTCCAGCGCGGCACCTTCGCCCATCGGCATTGCGTGGCGAAGGACCAGAGCACAGGGGAGGACTTCTGTGCCTTGGCTTGTGCCTAGGGCTTCAGGGTTTAGGGAGGTTTGGGGTTTAGGGCTTATAGGGTTTAGGGGTTTGGGGTTGAGGGTTTAGGGGTTAGGGGTTTAGGGATGAGGGTTCAACGTTTGGGTGTCTTTGGGGTATTGAATTTCGAGGTCGAGGGTTTGGCCCTAACCCAACAGCCTAAACCCTCAAAGCCTTGACTTAGTAGCTGAGTGGATACACTTTACACTTTTTGGGATAATATTATACCCACTATAAAACTGAAAGTGTGCACTTTTGGGGCTTATGAACTCAGCAACTAAGATTGAACTTTGACCCCCCGAATCTCTGAAGCGAAGCCCTCTCAGCGAAGAGCTCCGAAACTTCGAACCGAAATCGGAGCCCGAAAGCCCAGCCCAGTCTCAGAATAGAGAGAGATTGAGGCTTCGTGGTTTTGAAGTTTTCGGGTTAAGGATATAGGGTGACAGGTTTTCGGGTTTAGGGCTTGATGGGCTCCAGTAGGTTTTCGAGTAAGAGTGTAGGTGTTTCTGGGTGCTCCAGAGGCTTCCTGAACGCTAAACCCCTCAACCCCTAAACCCCAAGCCCCAAACCCTAAAACCTAAAACCCCAAACCCCAAAACCCTGAAACCCTGAACCCTAAAATTCCTGAAGCGCGTGGTCAGCAAAGTCACACAAAGAAAAACAGAGGTTTTAAAATAGCCCCACAGCCTCATATAGTATGGTCTTTGGACCCAAAAGCCTTAATGTATGGGTGGTTGTCAAAATTATCGTCCTTTTTGGGTTCCTATTTTAATACCGCACCTATTAAACCGGGGCCCTAATTTTGACAACCACCCATATGAGTCCTTAGATTCCTAGGGAAGAGGTCACAGAATCTATATTATAGGATCCTAACCATAAAATAGGGTAACCAAAAAAAGGAACCACAATGGAGACTAGAGGAAACATATGATCCTTTAGATTCCTAGGGAAAAGCCCGAGGCTTCCTGAACAACCTCGACCTCGGTCCCCAGGACCTGCGTGCCGGGCTTTGGGTCTTCAGGGTTCAGGGGTTTGGGGTTGAGGTGTTTAGGGTTAAGGGGATTAGGTGTTTAGGGTTTGGGGTTGAGGTGTTTAGGGTTTAGGGGATTAGGTGTTTAGGGTTTAGGGTTTAGGTGTTTAGGGTTTAAGTGTTTAGGGTTTCGGTCTTCAGGGTCTGGCTTTTGGGTTAACTGGGGTGATAAGTGGCTTCAACTATAGCTGTGGGATCTGCCTGAAACGACGATATGCCCGGCTTTAAGGTTTGGGGTTTGCAGCTTATCAAAGGGGAAAAGGAGGGACCCGTAATGGGGACCCCTACCCTATAATGGGCTATATAATGGGTATATAATAGCTATATTAAGGGTATATACCTGGGGGTCCTTGTTAAGGGTCCCTCCTTTTTCCCATTTGAGTTTAGGATTTAGGGCTGCCCAAAACCTTCAGAGTCTCGGCCTCTTGGAAGAGGTTTCCTATGCGGCATCCGGTATAGACCCAAGCCCTGCACATGTTAGAAGAATACTTACACCTGTATAAAATTCTGTATATATATATATACACATACATACATAGGGTTAATGCAGACTCCCTGATTCATAAACCCTTTCCCCTTTGGAAGGATTACGGGATGGATCCTTGTAACTAACAGAGCTTTTTGACAACGCTGGGCTGATAAATCAGGGGTCTACATCAAGCCGTTCTTGCTTGCCGCTTTCTGTGCGTCACGAGTGTGAAAGGGCATCTGCATCCTCCCACCCAGCAACGACCTTAGAACTTGGGGTGCTCTGAGTTAGAAGTTGAAGCCTCGACCCAGAGCTCGAGACGTAGGGGTACTTAGAAATATTTTTAAACTTTTGGTTATTATAATCCCTAAGAAACAGCTAAAATCATAATTTGTGCTAGGGTTCTAAGTTCAGTATAGGAGACTACGTTGGGAATCCCGAACTTCCGGTCTTCAATCGTAGATCCGAGTTTCACTGCCGATTCTCGAGCCCCTGTCAGGAAACCTTTATCGCGCGAAACTCCATCCTGTCTGAATATGGTGTACTGGGCTTCGAGCTGGGCTACAGCTACGAGAACCCTCGCGCATTGGCTCCTTCGATGAGTTACAGCTGCGGCCAAGTGTAAGGGCATGCATAGTTGGCGGTAGCTCTCGGGCATGTTATTGTCACTTATGGTAGCCACTGGCCTCTTTGGCAAAGCCGAACCTGTTCTATCCTCCGGTTGCATGTGTAGCTCAGTTGGTGTCATTGCCGGTTCGGTCCAGCTACCAGATCACAGTGTTCAGTAAGTGGGTAGGTACGCTTTAAACTTTTTAGGAAAGTCTTATCTCCAAGAACAACTGAAAGTGTATACTACGTTGGGCTTACGAACTCAACAACTAAGTGTTCTCCCAATAGGTTTAGGGTTAGTTCCTGAGCCTAAGGGAACGAGGAAACCCTGTACTTTTGAGCTTTCAGGTTTCAGTTGAGATTCTGAGGATACCGGGTTCAGGGTTTTGGGTTTCGGCTTTATTCTCCGGTCTCAGGGTTTAGGAAAGATCGTGAGGTTTGGGGTTTTGAGTGTCGTTTTCATCCGACTTCTGATATGTTGATGCTTGCTTTGGGCACGCAGGGCCCTCGCAAAAACACCGTCTCCCAGTACCTCCTCGGCGGGACACAAAGCTTTGGAATATTAAATTGGAGGGCTCAGACAGGTGCATTTTTCGAAGGGAACGCCTGCTCGGTTCTGGAAAGCTCAAGAACTGTGCCTCCCCAACCCTTATAAACCCTAAACCCGAAACCCCGCCTTTGACTTCGAATGTCTTTTCGCAGAAGAAGGGCGAGTCGGACCACAGAATCTCATGGCGAGTTGCATGGTCTAGGGTTTAGAGTTGAGGATCCTCAACGAAGCAATGAACATCATTCATTCCAAAGGTAAAAGGAGGGACCCTTAATAAGGATCCCTAGGTATATACCCTTATAGCTACTGTACTATATACCCAGTATATAGCCCATTATAGGGTAGGGGTCCCCATTAAGGGTCCCTCCTTTTCCCCTTTGATTCATGTTGGTAAGAGGAGCAGTCACAGTACTGAGAGTCACATCGAACGACTCGAGAACTGGTCTCTTAACTTAGTCATAGTCTGCTAGCACTTTACTTGGAGGGGCAGGGGACGTAGTAAGTAGGTTATAAGTAGAGTTATAAGTACCCTAAATGGAGTTACCCCAAGTAAAACCCTACTTATAAACGACTTACTAAGTCCCCTGCACTAGTTCATAGTTGGGATAACAATAAAATGGGAATTTCCTATTTGAGTTTAAATACCTATAGACACGTTGCCGTTGTCGCCGCCGCATGAGCAGGTGCAACAGTAGTAGTGATGGTAGCCCTAAACCCTAAACCCTAACCCGCGGATCTCCAATTACCCATTCACAGGACCAGAAACCTAGTAGAACGCCCAAACGTCCTTCATACCTCTATAGTACAAATCTACGTAAAGCAAGCCTGGGTCGTTTGGGAAGCCGAAAACTCCTGTATATAAGACATCACACCGGCACTGGGGAAACAATCACAGAGCAATGTTCTCTAATTGACAGCTGCAGAGATGGTAATCAGCATAGCCATAACACTAGTAACAGCAGTAGCAGCAAAATTAATAGTAATAGTGAGAGCAGCTCGAGTAGCATTAATTGCAGTTGTCATCCATATCATTTCTAGTAGTAGTAGTAGTAGTAGTAGTAGTAGTAGTAGTAGTAGTAGTAGTAGTAGTAGTAGTAGTAGTAGTAGTAGTAGTCGTAGTCGTAGTCGTAGTAGTAGTAGTAGTAGTGGTACCACTGTGTTGTGGCGTCGTTGTTGTGGTAGCAGTGGCAGCAGAAGCAGCAGCATCTCAAAGACCAGGTCCTTTGGGAAGCACACCCTAAACCCTTAAACCCCTAAACCCTAAGCCGCCCAGGTTCTTTGGGAAGCACAATTCGGTGACTTCGCCAACACGGCGCAGGTGATGATCGACCAGCCTCTTGTCAGCCCTGGGGGCGAAGCCAGTAATTTTGGGGTTTAGGGGTTTCGGGTTTAGGGTGTATAGGGGTTTAGGGTTTAGGGTTTGTCAGTATTTTGAACCACAGGTAAGTGCAGGGTATAGGTTTACGGAGTGTTAATTTTTCGGGCCCTTGTGGATTTGGATTTGGATGTGGCTGCAGCAGTAGCTGCATCTTCAGGAAACAAAGGAACCTTAGTAATGTCATTGAGCCTAAATCGTAGCTTCATTTCTATAAAAGCGCTTCAAAAACATAACCATAATTCAGTCGTGAACCCTTTGGTAGGTTCTTCGAAGACGTTACATCGTAAATCCCTAAATCTGACAGCGCGCACAAAACCCTGCAAGTTTTGGGTTTAGGGATCGCCCGGGTAAAAATACGATTGAAGAGCCCAGGTTCGTCTCTGCTGGGGAGCACAAGTGGCTTCAGCAGACCGGTTTGGTCATGCTCCTCCCCCACGGCTACATGGGCCCTTCGGCGATGATAGGGATGGATAAGGTTCTGTTTGTAATAAGCTAGAAATAGCATTAGCAAAGCTCATAGGGCTACTAACAATAACAACAGCAGTGACAGTAACTGCTGATCAGAACATCTTAACAGTAACAAGGATGTAAAAAAGGCAATCCAGGTGTTATAAGGCGTGACAGATGTATGTATATACATGTTTGTTTTTTGATGTTGACATTTATAACTGCTTTTATAAAAGCTTAAAAGGCTATCCCGCTCAATATGGCCCTTGTTTGGCTCTCTGTGGCCTTACTACGGTTTGCATTTTTACGCATCACTTCAAGGGTTCCTGGGCCTTAGTTCATTCGGCGCAGTAGTGAAGAGGTTATTGGGTCTACTGTACAGGGGCAGCATCCATTGTGAGTTCAACTTCCCAAGCCAGCAGCTTCTCAAACTCTGAAAACATCTCAGACTCCTTCTTGGCCGGGTCCTGATTACCACTGGCAATAAGTGAGTATTAAGTATACAAAGCGAGACATTGCCGGAGCACGCTTCGTACACTTTCCACAAAACATAATGAAGATGATTATTCACATCTTTCTGCTAACATCTAATACCCCAACGTTGGGGGTATTCCCTACAAAAAAGATTGTTCAAACCAGCCCAAGCGTTCACCCAGTAAACCCCAAGTCTAAAACCCCTACCCTTTAACACCTGAAGCTTTTTGTTTCCAAGGGCAGAAGGAGGGACGCTTAATGGGGACCCCTTACCCTATAATGCGCTCTATAATGGGTATATAAGAGCTATATTAAGGGTATAGGGGGTCCTTGTTAAGGGTCCCTCCTTTGACCCTTGGATTTTCCTTCTGAGGGCAGGGAGCTGAGCACTCGTCCTGTCGACTCGAGCGCTATCTTCAGCTCAGCCGGAGACCTGAGCCAGGGCTGCTAGGGCCTTGCAGGACTTTACAGTTTAGGGTTTATAGGGCTTGTGGGGTTTATAGGGCATTTGGGGTTTATAGGGTTTTAGGGCTTTTAGGGTTTATGGGTTTTTTTGGTTTTTTGGTGTTTTAGGGATTAGGGTTTAGGGTACAGGGTTTACGGCCTCAGTGTTTAGGGCTTGAGGCTGCGGGCTTTCAGGCCTTCGGGTTTAGCGGCAGTCTCGCGGATTTTAGCGTTCCGGGCCGAGGGTGTAGAGTCCGGGCTTTGGTGTAGGGTGGATAGTATGATTAGGTAGGCCCCTTAAAGGGTACCCCTTCTGAACCCTACTTCTGGCTCTCTTAAGGGCCTTATTGACAGGGTCTTTGTCCTCAAGGGTCCCCCTAATCCTAACTCCCATAGGGCTTCTTGGAAGGGTGGAGCACGTCTCGTTGAGGTTTTTCAGGCTGTTGCTTTTGGCCTTGCTCTTACATCCTGCTTAACTCAACCACAAACGGTGGTACCACCTGTAAAAGGCTATTATTCTACATACTTTGGGGGTCCGATATCCGTTGATTAAAGAATATACCTTAAATCCTATGGGTCCCAATCCTTAATTAAGTTAGGGGGAATGGATTCTGAACACCGTTGGGGTTTCAAAAGCTTGCGTGCCAAGCCTCGCGCTTTTACTGTGTGAGCGTCAAATTGTCTTCGCAGACTTCGGGTTTGAGCCACCGGCTTCGGTGTCGGGTTTGGGGCTTAGGGTTTAGCCACTGGCTTTAAAGCTTAAGGGATATTCGGGCAAGGGGGTCTGCATTGAAAGTCAGTAAGAGTCATGTCACGACCACCACCGCTACCACCACCACCGCCACTACCATCATCACCATCACCACATCATCACCACCACCGCCACCCCGGTCCCCAAACCTCTGCCCCACCCACCAGAACAGGAATATCACGTGATTCAGCTACGTATACTCGGATCTGTCCGAAGATGGCAGGATGTGATTTGGGACTACAGGGAGGCAGCCTTGGATTTTGGCGTTTCGGGTTTGGGGTCTACGGTCCTCTGTCCATCGTTTACTTAAACCCAAAACCATAAAACCCTAAACCCTAAATTGCGGCTAAGCTTTAGTCATTGAGGCGTTAACTCCGCAGCCTTAAGCCAGACCCAGACTGCCGATTCCCGAGCACGAAACCTCTTAAACCCCGCACCCTAAGCCTGAACCCAAACGCCGAAACCGCAGTCCCCTATCTGGGTAGTTCTCTAAAGTAGGGTCCCTTCTTGGGTACCCTAAATATTGGGTGCCGTATTATATGAAGGACCCAAAAAGGGCCCGAATTTGGCAACCACCCATCTGCAGGCATGCGAATGACTGCAGCTTTTGGTTTTGGGCAGGGATGCCATGGTTCCCCAGCCACCCCAGGAGAACAGAAGCCCCTCCCTACGGTTGATGGTAGAAATTCTGCATTACCCATAACAAGGAATATCCCATAATTCCCACAGTTTTGGGGTCTTTAAGGTACTGCAGGATTTATATCATCAGCAGTATCATTCGTGCCTTCGCAGGTTCAGGGTTTGGGTTTCAGGGTTTAGGGTTTAGGAAACCCAAACCGGAAGCAGCATTGAAAGCCAGATCCTACGGTTGATGGTATAAATCCTGCATGACCTTAAGGACCCTAAACTATCGGAATTATGGTATATTCCTTATTATGGGTAATGCAGGATTTTGACCATCAACAGTACTCCTGGGCTCCCCATGCAAATGCTATAACAAGTAAGGCAACCGCCCAACTGCAAATGAAGCGTACCCCGGCACTGCAAAACGGCCGTAAACCCTAAACCCTACAGGAACCCTAAACCCCAGGATTTCGGCCGTTCCGGGCTACTGCGCCGGGGTTCAGTCTCGCCCAGCCATGGCCGTCGTTAGTGCACACTAATGCCACCATGGATTTTGTGGCAGCCGCTCGCAACGGCACCCATGTCTACCATGTGGGATCCCTGAAGGACGCTGCCGGGTTAGGCTTTAGGGTTCAAGTTGAAGGACATCGCGGCAGTTCCGGCTTCTGTTAGGGTTTGCACGGGTTTGGTGTTAACTTTGGAAGTCTAGTCAAGGGAAGCTCGACAGTTTCCCCGAAGCCGGAACACACCGAAACGGAAACACGAACTGTGGGTCCTACACCAGACCACACCAAGCAATAAATCTAAATCCTAAGCTTGAATGTCTAAGCCATGAACCCTAAATCTTTGACATCTGCAGTCCGTTGAGATCACGGACTCTTTCAAAGGTCCTTGAGGGAGGACTCTCATGTAGGCCGGTTGTTCGATTCGGGTTTAGGTTTCGGCTTTTTGTTGATTCTCGACCGAGTGTCTCTTTTCTCGATAGTCTGACGCCTGTTTCACGTCATGCTTAAACTTGGCAGCTTTAACTAGGCGCTCAAGCAGCAGAATGAAGTTGTCTTGAAACTTTCCACAAGTCTCACCCTTGAGTACCTGTGCCAGGAAGAGCCAGCGCTTGTCCAATCCCTTCCACCTGCGCATCCAGGCACAGACGATGCAGTTATCTCTCGTGGCACGGACCAAAGAATCGCGCGGCTGAAGGAAGATCATCGTATCGCTGTCCACACCTGGGTATAACAAGAGCCACTGGGCAAATGGCGATCTTTGATCCGCTGTTCACGCTGACGATGGCGTTGGTGATGGCGGTGGTGGTGGCGGTGATGATGATGATGATGATTATCATGATGGTGATGGTGATCGCTGGTGATGAGGTCGTTGACTTTATGAGTGGGCGACTATGTGACTTGATGCTAGTTATGATAGTACTCATAGGGATCCGCACGCATGTTGGAGTTGACGAGGACAGTCGTGCTAGGACGACGACCCGCATTATCGGCTTCCTTCATGGTCATGCCTGCTATCACAGTCATGAGGCTGGTGGTGCTGATGACATAGAGAATCAAGATCACTCTGATGCCGATGCTGCTGTTGATCATGCGTGATTCTGCGATGCCCAAAGGCTCCATGTACCCATATAGTAGATACTTAGGCTTTAAAGTAGATATAGAGACCCCTTTAAGGCTTAAGTATCTACTATAAAGGTACATGGAGCCTTTGGGATGTGAAGGATCTTGAAAGTGCGAGACAGCCCCCACTGCCTTGAAACTCACAGGCCTACTCGCGCTTATGTAAGGAGCCATAGCTCCCAGAAGCCCTAAACCCCAAACCCTAGACCTAAACCCTTTTAAACCTATCAGTGGTTGAAATGGGATCGCTTGGCCTACCTCTCCTGGCCTTCGTGGCCTTACCGTTTTTCAAGACGGCGTAGTTTTTTGTGTGACTTTGCGGACAACGTGCTTCAGGAACAACGCAGCCCCAAGACGGCGTGGAAGGTGGTAAAGAGGGCCAAAACAACTAAACCCTAAACTGTAAACCCTAAACCTTAAAATGTAATGAGCCATAGCTCCGAGCCAGGGCACCTAAGCTACGGTAGGATTTGGTCCATGAGCAGTCGCCGTACCTCCCCTGAACCCTAAGCCCTAAGCCCTAATCCCAACGGCCAGTGCGTTACACTAAGGGTCCATGTACCCAACTGGTGCATACTTTGGCCACAACGTATAGTCCCTATATAGGGTACCTTGGGGCCAAAGTATATACTATTTGGGTACATGGACCCTTAAACCCTAAACCCTTACAGAACCCCTTAAGGAACCCTTATGGTACCCTTAAGGGAATCCTTACAGGAACCCTGTTTGGGTATGACCCCTACTTGGAGGATCATGAGACTTGATTAGTCGGGTTATAAGTGCCGTAGTTGGGGTTACCAGTAGTTATAACTGTAGCTGCCTTAAAACCCCAATCACTAAGTCCCATGATCCTCCGAGTAGGGTTATGTGTAGAACCCTTAAAGGAACCCTTATGGTACCCTTAAGGGAACCCTTAAAGGAACCCTATTTGGGCACATGGTCTCTTACTTGGAGGGGCAGGGGACTTAGTAAGTAGGTTATAAGTAGAGTTTTAAGTACCTTAAATGGAGTTACCCCAATTATAACCCTGCTTATAACCTACTTACTAAGTCCCCTGCCCTTCCAAGTAGGGCTCTGTGAAGGCAACGCGCACTGCCTGGCCAGCAGCGCCGCGGGCTACCTCGCAGTGCTCTTGCACCAGATCCTTGGTCTCGAGGTTTACACACACCAAAGGGTCCCTTTAGGGGTTCCTTTAAGGGTCCCTTTAAGGGTTGTTTGTAAGGGTTCTATAAGGGCTTTAGGGCTTAGGGTTTAGGCGTAGGATTCAGAGGTCTCGATGTTTACATGCCCTTTTGGGTCCTTTTGGGGTCCTTTAAGGGTACTATAAGGGCTCCTATAGGGGTTCTATAAGTGCTTTAGGGTTCAGGGCTTTGGCCTTGGGGGTTTAGGGCAATATAGGGGCCTAAATACTTACCTAAACGTGGCTCCTTTAAGGGTACCATAAGGGGTCTACAAGGGGCTTTAGGGTTTAGGGTTCAAGGGTCCATGCGCCCAAATAGTATATGTACCTTGGCCCCAAAGCATTAATGTAGGGACTACTTCGAGGCCAAAGTAATCCAAAGTTTCTACTAGTTGGGTACATGGGCCTGTAGGGACATGCTTGTGGTCTTAGGCTACGTTCCTGTGTAGTACCCTTTTGCACTTTTGTATTCTAGGGTCCCCTGTTTAAAACGGAATAGTAATAATTGGGCTACTGAGGAACCTGCTTACACAGGCTTCTTGGCCTTAGGATTCAGAGGCGTTATATGGTTTAAGTGCGTGATGTGGTCCGGGACCGTGGTTCCATCATGCTGTGTTGTCTAGGTCTGAGGTTTGAAGGTTCGAGTTCGCAGCGCAGACGCCCTAAACCATAAAGAGCCCTGAGGTACTGTAATGATTGGTTCGAATCTGTGTATGGTCTTTGTTGTGTAGTATAGGGTTGAGGGCTTGTAGACCCTCGACCCTAAACCCTAAGCCCCAAACCTAACGTGGAGGACTGGATCGGTGGGGATTTGGGACATCCCGTGGCTCCTGGCAGATCGGAGAGAGAAGGCCTTTCACTGCTGGGATGTCACCAGCAAGGCGGTAATATACAGAGGTCTGCATATTCTCGTATAACCACTCTCTTTCTATACATATATATATATATATATATGTATATACACATCTCTCTCTTTCTCTCTCTCTGTATATATATATATATATATATATATATATAGAACATCTAACTATACTACACTTTACGTACCGCAAAGCCCGAATGCATTTGTTAAGGACCCTGTAGTAGAGTTGGTGACTGATGTTCGATCCTCGAGCAATGTGATATGTCTTAGAAAAGAAAAGTATCGGGCATGGGCATGTTCGCCACGAGGGTAGCGCCACGACGTTAGTGTTTCTGTATGTGCATGTTTGTGTGCATACATGTTGTATGTACGAAGGCAGATGATCTACGTACGATAGAGATGGAACCTTTGGGTAAGGCTGATGCAGGAGGTTCAGAACTGCACCGATACTGTTGATGGACAAAATCCTGCATTACTCATTATAGGGAATACACCATAGTGCCCATAGTTTAGAGTCCTTAGGGTCATGCAGGATTTTGTCCATCAACAGTATTGCAATACACCGAAGATCCCTGCGAGGGGTGACTCCTCCCTTGAGCAAAGCCTCCGGTAAGCCATGCTATGAGTTGGAGAAGCCGGATTTTGGGGCTTTGATGCTGTAGGGTTTTTTCCTGGCTTCAGGATTTAGGATTCAGGTGTGCTTTATGGGGGCCTCAAAAGCTAGGATGAAGGTAGGCGGGATATTCCAAATAAGAGTCCTTATATAAGGGATCCTTAATCCCACCTGCCTTCATCCCACCCTTGTGAGGCCTCCGACTTTAAGGACAGGATCTGAAAGGTTCGAGTGTTGGGGCTTGCAGGCGCTAGAGTGTTGAGTAGGGCTGCAGGGATTTGGGATTCAAGCTTTCGGGATCTTCGTCAACCAGCTCCAAAAACCCGAGCCCCAAGCCCTGAACGGTTTGGGCTTTGGACCCTCGAGACAGGATTAAGTTTAAACAGACGCTGAACCTCGAAGCAACCAACCCAAACCGTTTGGCAGGTGTCCACTCCTCTTGGCATCAGCCACTGTGAAGTTCCCTCACAATCTGGGCCCACCGCACCTATTCTCAGGCATGTGTCAGGGGGCATCTAGGAGTTTACAAGACCGATACGATTTCATATGGAGTTCAAGGACCATACGGACAGCAATGCGGATTACAGGTTTGTCTCAAGGCATATTTTGGCCTTTACAAAGGCCTTTGCTGGGTTGCATGGTGGCCTCTCCTTACTTTAGACCCCTAAGCACCCTAAACCCCTAACGCCTTATAACCCCTAAACCCTCAAATCCTGCACCCCTAAACCCTTAAATCCTGCACCCCTAACCTGCACCCCTAAACCCTAAACCTTAACCCCGAAACAGGCCCTAAACCCCCAAACCCCCAGGCCCCTAAACCCTCAATTTCTTGTCTGGGGTCTGCGGACACAGAAACCTGGAGCCGACATGTTTAGGGTTGCAGGGTTTAGGGGTTCATTGTTGAGGGCTTTAGGCTTCAGGGTTCAGGCTTTAGGGTTCAGGTTTAGGGTTCAGGGTTTTCGGGTTTAGTGTTCGGGTTTTCGGAGGATTCTTTGCTAAGAGCAAGCAGGGCGCAGAGCCGCGAAGGGAGGTCCTCCGGAGAGTTTTGGCCCGGTGTTCTGCGTTTTATAGTAAGTAATTAAGTATTACAGGGCCTTAATGATTACCTGTACATACTCTTTTGGTGGTGGCTCCTAGCCCAGAGGGTCCACATACACTACGATCATGGAATTAGATCCCAAAACCATAATAAGGATGGTCTGCTGGGACCCAATTCCATAATAGTAGTGCATATGGACTCTCTGGGCAGATCCCAGGGTTCAGGGCCCATCCACGGGCCCATACTTTGGCTCCAAAGTCCCTAGAAAAGGGACGACTTTAAGGCCAAATTATGTACTACTTGGGCACATGCCCTTTTGAACTGATTCTGGATTTATATTAGTCCCTTGCACTCGGGCTGTTTTGCTTGAGAGCTCCCGCACGTAACTTACAACTTATCCTAAACCCTTAACCATTTACCCTAAACCTTAAGCGACCCTAAGCCTCGAATCCAAAGCCCTAAACTAGCGTTGTCTGCCTGGAAGAGGTGCTACTTCTCGCCACGCAGCTCCTTCCTGGCTACCGAGCCGCACTTGGAGCAAGCAAGGCAACACTGAGTAGTATCCTGTTGTAACTTCTAGGGTTCTTGAGGGGCTCCTTGAAGGGTTCAAAAAGGGATCTATATGTTAGAGTGGTAGAGTTTGTAACTAAGCCTTCTGAGCAGTCTAGGCCCTTATATGATCAGATCCCAAAGTTTAGCCATTCGTTTCCTCAGGATACTGGGCAACGAGGACGCTAGAACTACATTTTACCATATGACACAGGCATAAACAAGGACAGTTGGCGGCTGGAAGCTTTTCCTGTGGCTGTGTGCACAGTAAACGAATCAATAGAAACCATTCCTTGATATTCCCCATGAAACTATGATATGCAGTCGGAAACACGATACCACGACGGTACGAAGTTACCTGCTCCGGTTTGTTGTTTACCTCCTACAGGGTTTCACCGGACAGCACTAGTGACTCTAGTGTAATTCTAGTCTTTCAGATTGTGAAGATCATGCAGGAATTGTCATATTTTGTGGGGCCGGATCGCGACGCGCGTAAGGCGTGACTACAGACTGCGAGGTCCACACTCACTTTCAATCGGGGCCTTACAGGCATGTGACGGGCCCTTATAGGGCATGTAGCGCATACCAAGTGTAGTATTTTTAGAGCTACTTGCATGCAGGGTTACTAGTCGTCGCTTGCACCCCGCGACCATGAACCCCAGGATTCTCAAGCCGACACTAGCCATTAAGCACGTGAGTCCTGCATAATTACCTATACTATTTTGGGGCTTCATAATTATTATCAGTATCATGGGCCCCACAACCCTATTCTAACTAATTCCGAAACCCCAAAATGCTACACCGAAAGGTGACCTGGGAGCAACTGGGCGGCTTGAGATTGGAACCTTCCGACGGCAAAGGGAACGGGAAACCTGCCTTTGCTGCCTGGCCGACAGAGCGGTGAAGGGAAGAGCTGGGAGCAGTTATTTGGGACTTTCCGAAAATTAGGGGTACCTCATTTGGGAGTCATGATAATAAGGATCCTACTATTTAGGGTACTATGTTAGGGCCCCCTATTTTCGGAAACTCCCATTTAGTAAGACAATCCATCTTGACCATCCTTTTGTAGTCCGTCTATAGTTCTCCCTTTTTCTTGAATCTCATATAGATTTATCAAAGGCCCGCAAACCACCTCGTACGAACGGATGAAAAACCACTGTAAACAATCCGGTGTCCACTCGTCAGATCCTATGCAGATCCCTTTGAGGAACCCTTACAGAAGCCCTTTGAGGAGCCCATAAGGGAACCCTAGCCTACTGATTGAAATTTCACCCCTAAACCCTAAACCCTGAACCCTGAACCCAAAACCCTAAACCGGCATACCCTTAACGCCATGCGAGGCGCGAGCAGAAAACCTTCGTGTTTGGTCACTGCGGCGCCGGCCCGGGGCATCGCGAGAATTTGACTTCAAGCGCCTGGGCTTGTTGGACTAGGGCTGACAGGACTGCATTCTTAAGCCTAAACCCTGGGCTCTTAAACCCTGAGCCTTAAAACCTTTCATGGCTCAGGACTCAGGACGAAAAGGTCGGGATGAGTGGCTTTTAGGCTGCTGTGCCCAAAGATCATTGCATGCAGGGCCTTTGTGCGAGTTTTGAGCGCCGTAGGGTAGGTTTAGGGGTTTCAGGCTTTTCGGGATTCAGGGTTTAGGATTTTTGGGTTCAAGGTTGATAAACTAATGAATATTGCACGTTTTGGAGATTGCGCAGAAGGACCCCTACCGTGTTAAGGGTTCCACCGCTGAATTAAGGGATCATAGCCTGCAATTTTGCAAGGTTTGGGGTCACGACGATCCGCTTCGAATATTAACAGACACTCGAAGAATGTACTACTCTCTCTCAAGCTCAGCTCTGGTCAGTGAGGCCCTCATAGTGTTGGCTTTCTCGGTCTTTGTTTCCGGGCAGGGAACACCCACGGCTGTGGACACACTTTGAACTGCAAGTGGTTCACAGCTGACTGTATTACCTATCGTCTGCATTGTAATTGCTTTGTTGGGTTAACCAATTTATGGTTAGGCATTGTAAGCTGTTAAAACCAAGACAGGAACTACAACAGAGACTACCTAGAGTAACCAATGTGCCTTTTAAAAGATGGATATGATCCTAAACTTTGGTACATTCATCTGTTTTACGGTGCGTTGGTTACCCTTGGCGTCGGGAAGCCCAGGATCACGAAGGACGGTAGCCAGCGTTTGGGCATCAATGTCGACCATCTGGATGGACGGAGCCTGGGATCCATTTTTAATTGTGGATTCACATGAGTTTGGTGGGGGTTTTAGAGGATTCTTGAGACACGGGGAAGAGTGGCTGTCTTAAGGGGGTTTGAAGTTTTACGCTGTCATCTCCTCACGAAAGCATTGCTAAACATCGTTCCCTTCCCTCACCACATGCACCGGTTTAGGCTCTATTGGGAGTCAGCTTTCTATTGTTGAAGACCTCTGCCGAGATCAATAAGCCGCAGCCCTAGGCTCCACATAAGTCCCCCCTAAACCCGCAACCCAAAAGGCCCAAACCCTTAAACCCCGCATCCCTAAACTCTAACCCAAGCCATTGCACTTTAAAAAAAAATAAATAAACTCTAACCCCTACATTAGTCCAGCCTACTTTTTTCAGGACTTACATAAGGAACTTACAATGAGGAACCTTAAATTGGTAGGTTTCTTAGGGTCAGGTACACCCTAAAGCCCGAAAGTTATAGCTCAATGGGCCCCCAAACCCATTTTCTAATTCTTAAGGCCCCTAGATTAAACGCCTAAACCCTAAACCCCTACATCCAAATCCCTAAACACCTAAAACCTAAACCCCCACACCCCTTAACCCTAAAGCGCTTGCAGATCCCTTCTCGTCCGACGTGTCGACCCTGGGTTGGTGGAATCGCATCGGAGCTGCATCCGGGAGTGTAATACAATAGAAGCCCAAAAGTCCCAAAAGTTGGAAACCCTGTAGCCTCAACCCTTAAGAGTAATGTTGGGGAATCCCAGCACTGTTTGACCTTTTAATCCGGTGTTCAGCTTTTTGGGGTTTACTGTAATTACCTACCTTAACCTACGAAAACCTGCTTTTTTGTAGGGTCCCTATTAATTCCATATTGTGGGGGGTTTTGAATAAGAACCTGCAAAAAAGTTGAGGTATACTGCTGGAAGAAGTAGGGTTCCCTTATGAAGTGGTCTATAAGGGTTACTATAAGGATCTATAAGGATACTATCATCTAGGGGCCTAAGTGATTGCCATCATAATTGTTTTGGGGGGTTCCTGATATTGTAGTTATAGTATAATGCAAATCCCTACTCTAATTATTAAGGCCCTATAGTGAGTGGCGCACATGTGTTCCTTAAGATTGTCGGGGTTAACGGGGCAATTAAAGGGTCTACTAAGGCAACTAGGTGTTCTTGTGGCTTGTGTTGCTTGAGTCGTTTATGTCTTTAAGTAAATTACCCTAAACCTTAAACCCTAAACCTGGAATCTAAACCCAAAACGGTAAGCCTTGCGAACCTGACCATGGGATGTTACATATGGGTGGTTGTCAAAATTAGGGTCCCTTTTTGGGCCCCTTATTATAATACGGCACCTATATTATTTAGGGTACCCCAAAAAGGGGCCATAATTGTGACACCCAGAAATCTGAGCCTCAAATTCTCCAAGTCGCAAAGAGGCTTGGGCTGCGTGGTTCGGGGCTCCAGAACACTTGTTTAGGGTTTAGGGTTTAGGGGTTTAGGGTTTTATCCTATTCCAAACCCTGCTGAGCGTGATACGCGTTTTTTCACGGGTTTCATTGGGATTGCAAGCAGGGTTTAGGGCTTGGTGTTTAGGCATTTTTGAGTTCGGGTGTTTACATGGGTTCAGCAAAAAGACCCCAACCCGAAACCAGGGACCCGAAAACACACCCAAGCCATTATGTCGATGGGAATTCTGGTGCAAGCCAGCATTCACCCCAGAAATCACGAGCTGGTAGAACACTAAACGCTAGACTGCCTTATACATCCCCAGTAGAAGCCGCTTGGATGCCTTGTACTGTAGAACCCGAACCGGTCGACCCCACACCATACCCCTCCAAACCCCCAACACGCCCGACAAACCCTGGCCCCAAACGCATAAAGCCCTCGATTTACAGAAACCCAAATAAACCCCAAACAGGACTATTAAAGGCAACACCCTATATAAACCTAAACCCCTCAACCCCAAGCTCCTATATTCTCAGCAGCAAAGGTACAACAGCAACGCTGCTTCTGATCTGGTTCTCGCACCTGGTGACCAAATCATCCGAGTGAACAAGGCCGGGGAGGGCTTGAGCTGTCGGATCCGGGTTGACGGTTTCTAGCATAGTACCCCCTAAATAGTAGGATCCTTGTCATAAGGACCCCAAAATCAGGTATAGGGTTCCGGGAATTTCAATCTTTTGGGCTCCGGCTGCCTTCGGATTAAAGGGTTTGTCTGTCTTTGCAATACCCATAGGCCCCATAGTAGTTCCTTTTTGGGATTACCTTTATAGGATTCTATATATGAACCCCCAAAAGGAACTACTATGGAGCCTCTTGGTATTGCTTGAGGACTGGGGCTTCGGGTTCGGGGTTGAGGGTCTGGGGCTTAGTAACTTAGGGTTTGGCCGATTTAGGGTTTAGGGCATATGAGGTCTGTAGGGTTTAGGTTAGGCTTCAGGGTCTAGGGTTTAGGGTTTTAGGGGTTATGAGTTTAGGGTTCAGGGTTACATTAGTCTTTTTGATGTTTATTTGAGGGTTGCCGCCTCAACGGGGGAGATCTGGAGCACTCCCCAGACCCCCCGAGAGGATCCAAAAAGTAGATCCCTTAATGGGGGGTTCCTATAGGGGTTCCTTTGAGGGTCCCTTTGAGGGATCTATAGGGTTTTCGGGTTTAGGGTTCAGGGTAGATCCCTTAATGGGGGTTCCTATAAAGCACCCTTAGTAGTACAGGGCCCCAATTTAGGGGATCTACTTTCTAGATCCTCCCGGGGGTCTGGCTCCAGGTGAACTCCAACGCTGGTGCTGCGGCGCTCAGTGAGGCGCGCCCTTCCGATGCGTTGCTCTGAACCCCAAACCTTAAACCCTAAACCCTATAAGCCCTAACGCCTGAACCCTTAACCCTGTCCTTCTTCTTATGTCTTTTGAGTTTTTGTGCGGAGGGAGGGTGTTAAGCTTTGGGCTTTATAGGGATGGTTATAGGGACTTAGCGTTTGTGTTGTTGCTTGTATTTGTTTTCGTTGTTGCTTGAGGGCTGTGAAATTACTTTTCGTAAGGGCTTATGGGGTTTCAGAGAGTCAAGTGGGTATGTTTCGTCGTAGGACTGTAGGGCCTAACTGTAGGGTTGAAGGCAGTTTCGGGCGGTGCTTTCATTTAAAAGATCTCGCTCTTAGAGCGTCTTCAATGTATGTTTTTTGGTGTCAGGGGGTTTGGGGGTTCCTTTGGTAAACCCAAGCCCTCCTCCCCAAGCACGGTTTAAGGTTTAGGGTTTAGGGTAAAACACTCAACTCACTCCCAAGCCCCACCAAAATCTTCAAACTTCAAGCCTAAACCGCACAAGCACCAAGCAACCCTGACCACAACACTCTAAAGCCAGTATACTATAGGGACCTTAATAATTACCTATGCAATTGTGGAGATTCCTCATTACTTTGGCTATGGTAGACTATACCACCAAACTCACCCTAAACCCTAAACCCTTAACTCTGTTCGAATTATTCAAGCCCCTATATTGCAGCTGCGACTGAGCCCCTGCAGCGCAGGAGATTCAGAGAGCTAAAGTTCTGCAGCTGTTCGTGCGTACTTCGGCGCGCAAGCTCCTGAACCGGTTGATTCTCCGGGTTTAGAGGCTTGAGGTTTCAAGCTCCGCAGTAGACGATTGCATCAGGGAAGCGGGTTCAAGAGCATCTGGGATGTTGGGAAAGCGGCGCAGCAGCAGCAGCAGCAGCAGCAATAAGATCAAACAACGAGTCACCCAACAACAATCCGATCGCAAGTGCTTCGGCTGCATTGCCTGCACAAACGCCGCAGGCTTTGGCCCCAAATCCCAGACCCCCACAACCACATGCAAAGCTGTTCCATCCACTTGGGGCTTGTTCTTGAGATCGTTTTAAAGGGTGGGACCCTTCGCAATACATTTCGTCATAAGAAAAGCCTGGACCAACCAACAAAAACCCGCCCTGTGTTATGCTGTGTGGGTTGAGGGTTTAGGGGTACTTCAAGCTGGGTGTTCATCTAAATCGAGTTGCTTGGGCATCCTCAGCGCTTGCGCACGACCAGGAAAGGGGGCTGGTTTCCTTGCCCCATCCACATCTGCCGGCTACTTCGCGCCCCACATATCGCCTTTGTACCTGGGCTGGAGTTGGGGTTTTGTGGTCTGTGCAGAGTTTGGGATTTGGGTTTTAGGGTTTGGGATTAGGGCCTTTGGGCATTGAAGACTCACATGTAATTCATAGCACTGCCAACACATGTCTTACTGTTCTTGCGATTCGTCTCCAATTTGCTGGGTTCTCGTGTTCCCCTTAGGTTGTGGATGGCTTCAATGAGTTATTCTGTTCTGTATAAGTGATGCAAGGTGCAACTACTAACTAGATGATTGACATAGGCTAATGTAAATGCCACCGCAGCTGCTGCTGCCGCTGCTGTTTGTTGCTGTTTCACTTCACTACTACCACTACCAGGTTACCACGACTACGACTATCTGATTCTTCAGCTGCTGCGTCGGCCTGTAGCTAGAATGAATCATCGTTAAGAAGAGTGCATCTCCTGCTGCTGCTTCTTCTGCTGCTGCTGACGGCGACGACCAATAACAGCAGTGTCACGTTGACAAACAGCCAGTATGACTCGGGATCATGATCATCACCAGCAGCATGACCGTTATCGTCATCGTAACACCATCATCATCATCATCAGCAGCAGATGAAAAAGATTGACCATGTGCCTTGAGGCCGCTAGAGTTCCCCTTGAACCTTGAAGTTCCAAGGGTAAAAGGAGGGACCCTTAATAAGAACCCCTAGGTATATACCCTTAATATAGCAATTATATACCCATTGTATAGCCCATTATAGGGTAGGGGTCCCCATTAAGGGTCCCTCCTTTTCCCCTTTGAGAAGTATTGGCCTTAAAGTACTCCCTATATAGGTACATTGGGCCCAAAGTTTTTGCTATATGGGTACATGGACCCTTAGGGGTTGTGCTCTCTCGTGTAGACAGGTCTTGGCCTCCTGTGCAGTGGACATGCGACGAGAGGTTCGCGTTCCGGTTTGTGAAGGACGACATACAGGCCGGTTCCGAAACAGGGGCGGTGGCCGAGTGTTCAGGGTTCATGGGGAGTGGAGTTCAGGGTTTAGGGTTGGGCAAAGCGTACGAGATTCCCTCGTATCACCGCAGCATACCTGTTTGTATTGTTTGGCCATCATGGTTTATGGGTAGTTCTCTATATTTGGTTTCTTTTGAGGTCCTTTTTTATCAGCGTGCTGTACTGTTTTGAAGAGCTCGACATGGACCCTGATTTACAGAGCTACCCACCTGCTTTCCGACGTGCGGAACAGCTGACCACAAACAGCCGACAGTCCGAGACTTGAACCTGCAATCCCCGCCCACTTTGAAGGGCAGGGGACTTGGTAAGTCGCTTATAAGTAGGGTTATAATTGGGGTAACTCCATTTAGGGTACTTACAACTCTACTTATAACCTACTTACTAAGTCCCCTGCCCCTCCAAGCACCCCCCCTCAAAAATCGAAGGGATCCAAGGTAGCTGGGATATTCCCAATCAAGAGTCCTTATATAAGGGATCCTTCATCCTACCTACCTTCATCACACCTTTTGACGTCGCCGAAGAAAAGAATTATCTAGACACTCCAATGCCAATCCGTGGCTTCCCAAGCCTGAACCCGGAGCTTTGAGACAGGTATATAGGAAATTTAGGGTTTTGGGGGCTGTAGGGTTTTAGGGTTTGTGAGTTTATTTAGGGTTTCATGGTTTAGGGTTTAGGGTTACTGTTGGCGCCATGGGTTTAGAGCTACATCGTGACGGTTTTGTTGTCTTGGGAACTTCTTCGTCGCCGTCGTCACAGGTTCAGCAGAGATACTAGAGCCGAGAAGAGCAGTTTCGGAATTCCCATCGACCGCTCACCCACCCCAGCGCTTCGGTTTCATACAGTCTGCTCTGAGCCCCAAACACTACTTAAAGGATCATGGGACTTAGTGAATAGGTTTTAACTGGGGTTATAACTCCCCTAAGTGGGGTTATCCTAATGGTAACCTACTTAGAACCTGACTTACTAAGTCCCATGAGCCTTTAAGTAAACCTAGCCGCACAGGGCGGGAGCTTAAGAATCCTGTTGCCTTGGGTTCTTAATATCAAGCCACAGTATGCTGCCATTCAAGAACATTTTGTAATTGGCGTCCCGGGTAAGTTCCCAGCAACCTCACGATCTTTTTGAGGTGTTTTAGCCGGAATACAGGGCTCCGTAGAGCATCGCAAACTACAGTTCCCCAAAACACTACACTTGTTAATCCCGATCCTGATGAATCCCATGGCCCTGAAAGATGCCGTTTTAAAGGCTTTCTCTTCCTGGATGATAGGTAGTTAGGTTGAGTCTGGGGCGTGAGTCTTTTCGGAAAGAGACCTACAACCCAAACCGCAAATCACATACCACTTCTGTAATGCCAACAGTAAGGTCCTGGAAGGCCATAGTCTGGCCCCTGTTCGACGCATCAGCGCGCAGCACATTTCGCAGTTGATCCTCGGAAGCTGTCAAGGTATAGTGTGGGGTGTGCTGCAGTCTTAACACACTTCGTGCTAAATGGTAACTTGGTTTGCAAGGGGAGCAAAGTGGGGTGGTGGTAGTGTCCTGGTGTACCATGGGGGTTTAAATAATTACCAATACTACTGTGGAGCTTGCTTATTTTGATGATAGCATAATATACCCCAAACCTTTTTCTAGTCATTATATAAGGCCCCTCTACTAAATCATTACAGCAGCCCTAACAGATCCTTAAAACGGAAACCCTATTCTAGTTATTGAGGCCCCTATATTAAGCGTTGGTCTCGGTGACTTTTTGGCCTGACAAGTCAGGCTTCGGGATGAAGCCATACCCTATGAATCCATGGACCCAAACAGGGCTCCGCCACAGGTACCATAAGGGTTGTATGAGGGTACCAGAAGAGTTTGGGGTTTAAGGGTGCGTGCGCCCAGATAGTAGATTCCTTGGCCGCAATGTAGTTCCTACATAGGTACTTTGGGCCAAGGGATAGGAAACCAAAAGATAGCCCCGCTTCGATTCACGCGCAATATACTAGGCTCCTGAGTAGTACCCTTGTGCACTTTCTATATTTTAGGATCCGCTTGTTAAAAACCGAATAGTAGGAAAAAGGGGCTGCTCAGGCACCTGATAGGAGCCGTTTGAAATGCATAGCATCCCTGCATGGTCACTGTACTGCTCTGCTCTACTGTAAAACATACCGTTGTTTGATTATCCAATGCCCTATCCATGTACGCGAATGGTCTATTCCTTGGTCCCTATATTGGTACAGTCAGACCAAAGTATCTACTGTTTGGGTGCAGGGATCCTGATACCCTAAAATCTACGCCCGTTTGGTGCCCTTCTAGAACCCTTATGGTATCTTGAGCGAACTCTTAAAGGAAACCTTAAGGTACGTGGACCCTTAGGGTATACCCAGAGGCTCCATAGCAGTTCCTTTTTAGGGTTCATATTTAGAATCCTATAAGGTAACCCCAAAAAGGAACTACTTTGGACCCTTAGGATATACTACCGTGTCAACGTCCGATGCCTCGAACTTCCGAAGACTCGGCCTTGCGAAGTTTAGGGTTCAGGGTCCTCCCACGACTCTGACAGCAACACCAGGACCCTCGAAGGTAACCCTAATTGAGCCCTTATGATCCTTAAAAATTGCTATTTTCCTGGGAGGGGCATGCGACTTAGTAAGTAGGTTATAAGTAGAGTTATCAGTACCCTAAATGGAGTTACCCTAATTATATCCCTACTTATAACCTACTTACTAAGTCCCCTGCCCCTCCAAGTATAATAGAGAGTGGTTGCGGGGGTCCTGGCAGATCAGCTACAGGACATCCCTGAGAAATGAAATCCCCGAGAATGGACACTCCTCGTTACAAGTACTGTACTTGAGGTTGCTAGGATAAGAAGTGTAGTTGCGAGGTTTTTGTAAGTCTACGTGTCCCCAAAAAACCCGTACGTTTCAGTTGTTATGGTGTTGTTTATGTAACTCCTTAAAAAACGGCAGGCTTTCTTGGGCCACAGCTGGCTACTAAGCCCCATGATTGGCCCATGATCCTCCATGATATCGCTGCTTAGGAACGTGTCGCCGAACTTCCAACCCGAGGATGCTCCCACGTCCCTCAGCACAGCTTAGATGGGCGTAGGGATGAGGGGTCTTATATGAGGATGTGTTGTTTGTTATTATGTTTTAGGGGTTTAGGCTTCGGGATGAGGGGTTGTCATAAGGATTTGTTCTTGTGTTAGTAAGATTCAAACTTCAGTGTTCGGGGTGTTGGGGAGAGGGTTTGTGCTTTGCAGCTTATTGTCAAGGTGCTGCAGGATTTACTCCATGGATCGAAGGGCTCATGTGGGTACATAGTTCTGTGAACCGGTCTCGCTGTTTATGGCCCCCGGCCCAAAGACTATGTATATCGTCAAAAGCTTGTGGGTCTTGGAGCCGTAGGCTTACCGAACTTTACTGAACAGTTGCTTCGGAGGGCAGTTGGGCGTAGTATCTGCAGTTCAAGAACATGTTTTGGCACAATGGTGGAGCGTCGTTTTATGTTTTGCTGGGCTTAGAACTCAGGTTTGAAATGGCTATAACCCTAAACCTCAAACCCTAAACACCCTAAACTCTACACCCTATAAACCCTACCCAGTTATAGCACTAAAGTCACTCAAAGCCTGAAAATTTTAAATCCTGAGCCCACGAAGAAGATACCCGAGCAAATCCTAGTTAAATCCTAAATGCCATTCTCGAAACCCGAAACCAGCCAAACCTCCTAGAGAACCCAATCCCCCTTAATTAAAGATTATACCTTAAATTCTAGGTGTCTTAATATTATGATTTAAAGTACATTCCTTAATTAAGGGGTATTGGAGTCTCCTAAATCCTACACCCTATAGATCCCTTATAGGAACCCTCATAGATCCCTTTTTAAGGAGCCCTTTAAGGGGTATTGGGATCTTTGGACCTCCCACCTCTGAGAAGGTCCTGCTTCCTTGCTGCCTTCTGCCCAGCAGCCTCGAGCTGTGTTCCGGCAATGGTGCGGATTTTTGCAGCCTCTTTCCTCAAAGTTTTAACCCAAAGCTCCAAAGGACCCAATCATTTAGGTTGTATAGTAGTTATGTAAGTTAGGATGTTGGAGAGTGTATGATTATATGGTACTTGGACCCTTGGGGTTACTGGAAATCGGGCCCTGAGCTGTGATAACATGGGTGCCGGATTACTCATAGGAGGCCCAAAGGGGTTTGACCCTATGGGGGTTTAGTAGGGATTAGGGTTCCCATAATAGGGTTCATATTAAGGAATCCCTACCCCAAGAGTCTTAAACCCCTCTTTTGGCCTCCCATCAACTATTGAATACCATGAACTCTTGGAGCTTCTACTCTTTGAGGTTCAGGTCATATCAAGCAGACTGGGTTGTCCTTTGGGATCTTTTTCAATTTCCCCTACTATTTTGTAGAGAACAACAATAGTACACAATTTTCAAAGGGCTTAAAGGACAACTCAATAGAAGCCAGAAGATCGGGAGACAATTTTCCACACGGGTGCAGTATCGGGCATCCAGCACTTGCCACCGTAAATCCATGTTCCAACTTCAGGGGTTTACGGCAGCCTGTAGCCCTTACATTCCGCTCTGACCTGTTGTCTTGAGCTAAACCCTAAACCCTAAACCCCTAAACCCTAAACCCTAAACCCCTAAACCCTAAACCCTAAACCCTAGAAGGGTTTGCAGGGTTCATTGCCGAGGATGGCAATGACTGGATGTTGCGGTGCAAGTGACTGGGATTCCACAGCCCTGAAATTACCCAAAGGGTCCAAGTACCTAATTATCATATACTCTCAAAAATAGTAACCTACATAAGTACTATCCCAGACCCGAGTACCTAATTATTGGGTCCTTTGGACCCTTAGGGTTAAGGAACATCTTCGAATCATTGGGAATCGCGAAAATTGTTGACTCTAAGGGTCCATGTATACTACTATGCTACTATTGTGGAACCACGTCCCCAAAATACAGCCATAATAGGGATGGTCTTTTGGGACCTAACTCCATAATGGTAGTATATATTGGCCCTATCCCCATCCCTAAACCCTATACCATAATGACAACATCTATCCCTAAACACCCTAAACGTCACAATAAAAGTAGACATGGACTCTTTGGGTTATGGTTGAACTTACGTTTGGTTTATTTTATGGAAGAATGGTACTAATAGTAATTCAATCTGTACCCGATTCCTCCATTCCCTACTAACCAAAGGCAAGCTTTTAGAGCCTCTGAGACTGAGGACTGTGGCAAAGGCGCCAAGCCCGTGCTGACAAAGAGCTTGCTCTTCGACTGAAAGCCCCGAAACCGTAAACCCCGAAGCACTAGACCCTAAAGCCGAGACCCTGGCGGTTTAGGGTTTGGAGTTTAGGGGTTAGTGAAGCCCTCAAACCGAAACCCTGCACCCCAAAGCTTGGAGCTATCTGCTTATGCAACAAGCTGAGACGCAGAAGCCTTGGGGCGATGAGCTCAAACCCTAAGCCCCACCCTAAACGCCAAACCCGAAACCCCTGAACCCTAAACCCCTAAACCCCAAAAAACCCCCAAACCCCCAAACCCTAAACCCTAAACTGAATCAGCAGGACCCCTTACTCTGATCATACAGTACATCCCGAAACCCTAAGCGCTAGACCCGAGACTTCATCCCCACAACCTGAAACCCTGAGTCCCCTTTTATGCACTTCTCGGCACCCTAAATCCAAAGCCATAAACCCTGAACCCTGAACCCGAAACCCTAAACCGAGATGAGGTTCTCCGATGCAGCGTGGGTTACCATGCGCTGGGATCCTGTTCCCTGGCTTGGCTAAAGGCGTCGTTCAGGGTTGAGCGCTTAGGGCTTAGGGTTTAGGGTTCGGCTGAATATTTACCAATAGTCCCGAATAGTCCCCATGTTATTCCGTTGTTCCTTACTCTAACTATACCATAGCACACCCCAAAACCCTATTGAAAGAACTGCCCCCATAGTAGATGCTGAGATCTTGCGAACCCTAAGATTCCAAAAACTCATACATGAGGTCTTCTGCGAAGACCATATTATGTGTAGAGTTTTTGCAATGTTGAGAATTACGGGCAGGAGTGGGAAGTTTCACAATAAGGAATGCGAGCGATCATGGTATATAAGGGCTGAATAATCCAGAAGCCCCAGAGCCTATACCCTAAATGGGAAGCTAAGAGAGTGAAGGGATCTCTGTTTTCAACGTTGCAACTCCGAGAACGGAAGCAGGAAGAGGAAGGTCAGAACAATCGCCATTCATGGGTGTCGGGCCATTATTTAACCTACTTTTGCGTGTTTGGGTAGGCGCAACCAGCTACGAGGAATTCTGTTCAATCTCCGATTTTGTGGACCTTCCGGACAAGAACTCTTAGGTTTTACAATTCTTATCTCGCGCGATCTTGACCAGCACATCTTAAGCCTAGACATATTTCCCCTAAGCCTTAGATTACTAAGAACTAATCACCTAAACCCTCATACCCCAACCCCTAAACCTAAATACGCCAAAACATGGTTCCCAGAACCTGATATACAAGCTCAGGTAGAAGGTTCGGATTTATTGCTGCTCGTCCATTCTTCGGAGCTGACGGAGGAGCTCCACTGCAATGTAGGGTCCAACCCTTTAAGGGTCACTAGATACAGGTTCGAAAAAGCTCTTGTGAGGGTGGCAATGAAGATATTAGGGTTTAGGTGGAGTTTGAGGTTTTAGGCCTCAGAGTGCAGGGCGCAGAGTTTCGGGGTTGGGGCTTTTGCATACCTAGTTTTGTCCTCTTTGGGATTTTGGGTTGAGTTGTGGGGTTTGGGGCCTAGTTTGTTTTAAGATTTGCGTTCTCCGGAGGAGGTCTCCAAATTGGGGCCCTTTACGGGGTCCTTGTCTCAGGAATGACATACTTTCAAAATGTTTTGTCAGTATCACTGGGGCTCCTATATCCCTAAACCTTAAACCTGTGCGATGAAAATCAGAACACTGCTGTAACATACAAAAGCTATTCAAAAAAGCTTTAAGGCCCCTTGACTAGCAGAGCCGCTTTGGCACAGTAATGAGGGTTACAGAAGAATTACTAATCATACTGGCAAAGGTCAAAACAATACTAATCATACGAACGCTGCTGATAATACAATCGGCAATAATAATGGTACAAGAATTATAGAAAATAACAAATTTAACATTAATGACACTAACAAAACGAGATTCATGCTCTGGCTCCTGCAACTCCTACAGAGCCCACCTACAGAGCCCAAAGCCACCAAATTGAGGAATGACCTCAAGCCTTAAAGTCCAACAAGCTCGTGGCGAGGATGACATGGCATTCCGAACTCTTTGCGGTCATGGTGGAAACATTCTGCATCTCCGAGAGAATGTTTACGGGTTAGGGCGTTTGCAATTTAGCACTGTAGGGTTTGTTATAGCTTTTACGCTCTAGGGCTTTTTTACAAGTTTAGGTTTTTTCGGTTTGTATGGGGTAACAGTCTGTCATGTGTTGAGAGGTATCTTCTACGGCCGCGGAGCAAGGAGCCAGTGACATCCCTCGCGACCAGCGAGGACCACATGTGACATGTCGTTCGGGGTAAAGCGCTTAGAACCCTGAACCCAAAAGCCTGAAATTACAAGGTTTAGGATTTGGGGTTTAGGATTTCGGGTTTGGAGCTTATCACCCTGGGCTCTCTCCGAAAGCTGCTGCAGGGTTTAGGGGTTTGTGGGGCAGCAGCCCAGGTGACCTTATAGTCCTGGACAACACCCTGCGGAGAGCCTTCCAAGATTCTATGCTGCACCCTCAAAGTTAAGGTGAACAATAACTGATGGCACTGCTGCCAGCCAAACCCTGTGACCTTGATAAATCTTTGCCTTTGCCAAGGGCCTAGGCACTAGTGGCGGACTGAACTTCAGATTTGGATTGCAACATCCCCTTTCTGAAAATAGGGACCCAAATATATAGTACCCCCACACCCCTTATTTTAGTGGCGAGTATCATGGGATGAAACTTTCAGCGTGCCACCTGGAGAAGTCTCAAAGTGACTTGTTCTGCAAAGCCACAGCAGACCCGCCGCTCAACATCCATATCCCTGAGTCCCAAATCAAAGTTCTAAAGCCTTGAAAGATAATGCAGTGGATGCTATATCAAAGGTTATAATATACCCTGAATCCGGTTCTGATTATCTACGGCCCCTGTATCATATATAGCATATATCCTGCATCCCAGAACCCTGTTCTGATCATGAAGGCCCCTATGTTAAGGTTTAGGGTTTAGGGTTTAGGGATTTAGGGTTTAGGGTTTAGGGTTTAGGGCTGCTTGTTTGGAGGAAATTTGCCTGGATGTGCAGTGGTGTCCAAGCTCTGGCGACCGCAAGCGGATGCTCCTGGGCCTGGATATGAAATGCAATGCTGTAGATAAATGAATAAATATATAAACAATACATAAGTAAATAGATAAATAAATAAGTAAATATGTATATGTATATATATATATATACCTATTTGTGTATATACATATATATAAATATGCTTATGTATATATATATATATATATATATATGTGTATGTATGCATGTATGTATATATATATATGTACATATCCGTTTAGGATAGTTGTGGATTTTCTTTTTTGTTTAAGACGATGCCCTGAGTATAAACAAGACAATACCTGTTGATGACAAGCTCAGCCGCCTGCAAAAGATAGCAATCCACACAGCACTCTGCTACCCTAAACCCTAAACCCTAAACCCTAAACCCTAAACCCTAAACCCTAAACCCTGAACCCCAAACCCTAAACCCTAAAACCCTACACCCCACCTTGGAGACTCTTAAGGCCCTCACCTCTAAGCTCCTTTAAATCGAGCCTTCATTAACAAACAAGAAGCAGTTCTGAATAATATAGGCGCCTCAATAATTCCGTATACTATTTTCGGGGTGCCTTTTCTAATATAGTAGAATGGGCCCCCAAGATCCTTACACATTTAAGGCCCCTGACTTAAAGATCCGGCGCCTCGCTCAACGCGAATTTCCTGTGTCGACTCATGGGATAAGCCGAGGATCCTTTTGCAAGGGCCGCAGCCTGCAAAGGAGTCTCAGCTGAATGGCTTCGAGTGAACCCCAGAAAGTTGGAATATAGTTTTAGGGTGATCAGTACTAGGATTCCCTCTACTTTACCTTAGGGGCATGATGCTAATGATGTTCCAACTTTCTGGCTTCTACTATAGACGTTGTCTGGTTTTTCGGGTCCTACGCCCTAGACCCCTAAACCCTCCGTCAGGGGCTGTATCCCTTCTGAGAACCTTTAGACTCTGAGCCACCAAAGTCCTAAAGGCCAGAGCCCTGAAACCTAAAGCATGATCCACATCCAACTTCCTGACTACCTAGCCCTGAGAGCCCAGTTAACCATGACTTATGGGTATGAGCCTGTAAGCCCAGCCCTAGCACAAATTCCAAACCCTAAACCCCTAAACCCCACACCCCTGAACCCCTAAACCCCTAAAAGCCTCTGAGCAATCCAAGAATGTTTCTGCAGCCGAACCATAAACCCCTGAACCTCTAAACCCCAAGCCCCGGAACTACCTAACTCTCCAGCAGGTTTCCATCATCTCGTACAGCGGTTCTGGGGCTACACAGCGGGAGGAGGCGGTCGTATGGGCACTATAGTTATATGGTTTGATCATGTTTTATCAGCGTTCTAAAGTTCTATCAGGTTGTTTGTGAAGGGGTTTTGTTTGCGATATTATACGGTCGTGTTTTGCGGGTCATTAGCTCTAGAAGGGTTCTAGAAGGTATTTATCATTGTGTTGGCAAGATTTTGGTAGTGCAGGTTCTACAGTGGTGTTCAGATTCAGAAGGGAGCCAGAAGACCCTGAACTGTGGCATCTAGTAGTGTTGTGGGTTGCCCTACTGGTTCTTTAACGGTCTTCCTCATCTCATGAACGAGTGTGTCCAAAGCATAGTACACCAACTGGGGGTCTGGGCCAAGTAGGGTGTGTGGGCATGATCTCCTCGCTAGGACCAAGGACTTGCCGCGTGATCACAATCTGTTGGCGTCCCTAGACCCTGCTGCAACCCTGCGGGGGAGAGGAGTTTAAGCAACCGGGAAGAAAGCCGTAACCCTAAAGCCTGAACCCTGCACATTCCGCGTGCCTTCCAGCCTAGAAGTTTTGTCGCCCGCTGCCCTAGTAAGCTCCAATACCTGAAGCTGTCAAGATGGCTTCCAGGATTCCCCAAATCATGTAGGTGGTTGTCAAAGTTAAAGTCCATTTTTGGGTGCCCTAAATCTTAGGTGCCGTATTATAATAGGGATTCAACAAGGTACCCTGATTTTGACAACCACCCATGTGCAGCAATGGGGTCTTGCTGGGAAGCCTGAGGGCCGGATGCGATTGCCGTTACAATGTAGGCCTACTTAAAGGAACATGGGACTTAGTCATTGGGGTCCTTAAAGGGGTCCCTTAAAGGGAATCTAGAGGGGTACTATAAGGGTTTAGGGTTTAGGGTCTACCTAAAGGATCATGGGACTTTGTAAGTAGGGCTCTAATTAAGGTAACTGCACTTATAATTACGTATAACCCCAAGTAAGGTACTTATAACCCTACTTGCTAAGTCCCATGATCCTCCAAGTAGGATTGACACAAAAGCAGAGCTTCTCCCGCTCATTGCTGAAACTAGCTTCCAAACCTTGGATCCCACACCCGTCATGCCATAGACCCAGAGCCTCCAATATCCTTTAATTAAGGAATCTACCTTAAATTATAGTAGGATCCCTAAGATGATTTAAGGAAAATTCCTTAATTAAGGGGTCTCAAAAATGTAAAAAAAAATCCCTAGACCCTAAATTGCATCCCTGATCCCCAAAGCCTCAGCCTTAAAGCCTTACTTGGAGGCCCTTTTGACTTAGTAAGTAGGGTTAGTAAGGTGGGTTATGGGGATTATAATAGGGTTTCTAGGGGATACTAAGTAGACTTACTAAGTCAAAAGGGCCTCCAAGTACAAACCCTAAACCCTAAACCCCCAGCAGCCTTAAACCCTAAAAACCCTAAACTCCAAGTCACGAGCCTCGAAGTCCTGGAGCTGCTAGTCTCCAGGGACTCAAGTATCATTTAGTTAAGGGATATTGCTTAAATCATATTAGGGATCCTACTAGAATTTTCGGTATATTCCTTAATTAAGGGGTATTGGAGTCCTTTGGGCATCTTACCTCTAGCTAAACGCCGGCTGCACACCGTGAGGTGGGCCGCTTCGGTGTCCGGAATAGCATCACGTGCGATCCTCGATCTGCACAGCCTTTGGGTACCCTGCCCTGCCCTACCCGACCCTACCCCTACCCCGCCCTACCCTCCTACCCGACCCCACCCCCGCCCAACCCTCCCTACCCTACCTGCCCTCAGGTCCTACCCTTGGAGAGCACCGTATGGTTTAAGCTTTAGGGTTCCGGGTTGAAGGCATGGTTTAAGCATGAGCGTCTTAGTTCTGAGCTCTTAGTGTATGGTTTGGATTTTAGGGTTTTATCTCTGGGCGTTTGGGGTGTGGCTTAGGGTTTGGGGTTCAAGGCTTAGGCTGTTAAACCTGAGGCCAGTTCATTTCCATGAGGTTGCAAAATCCAAAATAATATGTGAGACGAAACGCCAAATCCTTGTAGTAGACCTTATAGTAGCCCTTGTAGAGCCAACATAGAGTAATCCTTACTCCTGACAGAACAGAACCCTACACCACCCTGATAGCCGCCCTTATAGCATCAAAGCAGGCTTAGCAGGCTTTAGAACAGATAGTAACTATAGTAGTAACCATATTGAAGCCCGTATAGCAGCCTGTTCTTGTAATTCGTAGAAGCCGAACATCCCGAAATCCTTCAATTAAAGATTATACCTCAGTTCATATTATATAGGCATGCCACTACAGTCTAAGGTATGTTCTTCAATTAAAGGATATTGGAGTCCTTGGGAACGAGACGTCCCCCAACCCTTAAAGATCTCTTATAGAACCCCCTGATAGATCCCTGCAGGGAACCCATTAAGGAGCCCTATGTTTCTCAATTAATCCTAAGCCGTAAACCCTAAACCCTAAGCCCTAAACCCTAAACCTTGACTTTTGGAACTGAAACCCCGAACCCAAGAGGATCCTTTTGGCCGATCATTTTGCGTCCACGTGCAGAGTGAGCGGGGGATGGGACTCAGCAACGAGGCCCAATTGCTGGTGAATCCAGCGCTTAGAGTTGAGGGCTTAGGCTTTATGGGGTTTAAGTTTTAGGGCTTTAGACTAGAGTTTAGGGCTTAGAGTTTAATTAGGGTCTGGGGCTTTAGAGTTTCGGGCTTTGGGTTTAGGGCTTAGCCCCTAGAGTTTAGGGTTTAGGGCTTAAGTTTCGGTTTGGCGTTTAACGGTGTTTTAGGGTGTAGGGATGTTTAGGGTTGAACTTAGGGTTTAGGGCTGAAGTTTGGCTGTCTGAGTGCTGACAGTATTTATACAACTCTAGCGACTCCAGTATTTTGGATCATAAGACATTTATGAAGGACCCTATAGTTTGGTTGGACGTTTCGAGTCCAGGTTTCAGTCTTCGGGGTGCTGGGCCATGGGAGTTTGAAGATTTCGGGCCTTGGGGTATTCAGGGTTTAGGGTCTGGGCTTTGGGCTTTTAGGGCTCAGGGTCCAAAACAAACTAAGCCGCAAACCTGAAATATTATAAATGTAGTTGCTTTGTTATTCATAACCCCCACCAGAGAACCCATGATCCTTTAAGTAGCATTTCGGATCCACAGGCAGGGTTAGCGGGCTGCCCCAAAGTCATACATTTTCACTCTCGCCTTGCGGCTGAAAACATCGCGGGCAGGCCGACAGCGCCGACCTCTTCAACATGACCCAGGACCTGGATGTTTTTGGTGTTTGGGGTTTAGGGTCTAGAGTTCAATGTTAAGGACCTGGGCTTGGCAGTTTCTAGGGTTCAGAGGTTTAGGGTTTGGACTTTAGGGTTTAGGATCTGGGTTTGTTAGCGTTTAGGGCTTGAGGGTTTATCTCTCAGGTTTCAGGATATCGGGAGTAGGATCCCGGTTCAGGAAGCTTTAAGATTTGCGCAGGGTTTGGTTGTTGTTCTGGTAAGCACGAGACGATTCTTCATGTCAGCTGTAACTCGCTATGCGTACAACCTGACCTGACTCGCTACCCTAAACCCTGAACCCTAAATCCTAAACCCTAAACCCTAAACCCTAAACCCTAAACCCTGAACCCTAAATCCTAAACCTTGAACCCTAAGCCCGGAACCCAAATTTTCGAAGTTACTTATTGGCTTCTGCGCACGACAGAAGCTTTGTGGAGGCAAAGGACCTTCACATTATGGTGCTGAGTCTTCGCTAGATCCTTACATGATCATACATGTGTGGATCCGTTGGCGCAAACTGCACCTAGACCCTTACCTGAAGGACCAAATGACCCTTAAAAGTAGGGGCCCTATACCCATATACTATGAATCCCTATATGGTATATGAACCTTAAACCCTTTTAGGGTTCATTTGGTCCTTAAGGTAGCCCCAAACCGTAGGCCCTAAACCCCGAACCCTGGACTTCACACCCTTGACCCTAAATCCCCAACCCTCACAACGCATTGACTTGCTCGCCTACCTGGGGGATTCGGCAGCTGTAGGGAGACCCATATGCAGGGGGAAGAGAGCTTTGAGCAACAAACTTATACCTCAAAACCCAGACCCTTTAAACCCCAAACCCTAAAGCAACTGAAACCTAGTTGCCAAAGCCCATGGTCGGAAGCATGCGTGTCCAAGCGAAGCCGAGAGCAAAAAGAAGGTAGAAGGCGTGATGCAGCCCATACTCATTTTTCAGGGTTTACACAGCGTAACGAAGGTATGAACCTGGACCCGGACCCTAACATTAAGATATAGTGTAATAAAGCTTCCGAAGGTGGACAACCAGATTAAGGAAACTTAGTGCGGGGCTTCCCTAAACATTCCTAAACCCTAGCCCTTAAACCCCAAGCCATTTTGGCTCAAGCCCTGAGAGGCTCAAGCTTTGGCTCTAGGCCCCCCCTGACCCTCCGCCTCGCTTCTCCCATACTGGCTGGACGGTGAGGGCGCGGTGATCAGCCGGACCGGGGGCGAGGTGTGCGGGTGCTCGAGTCAGTTGCCTTCCCCGATTACCCGATTCTGCGCGAGCTGGTCCAGTTCTCTTGGGTTAGTCTGCTGCCGGGAGTGAGTGTCGCGGCGATGCCTTCCGAGGGAGGTGCCTTTCAGTTGGGTCTGCCGGGAGAACTCCCAGACGTGCCGAGCTCGAATGAGGACGAGGAGAGCCCTGCTAAGAAGCCCAAAGGGGGTCAGTCTTCCAACAAGGCCCGGCCTGAGACCTCCAAACCGGGGCCTAGGGGTCGCGGGAGGAAGGAGCCCGAGAACAAGAGCCTCACACTGGACCTGTCCACGCTTGAAAACCTGCTGGACCAGAACTGCGCCAAGATCTTGAAGGCCAACCGCGAGCACGCTCAGGGTCTTCTAGACTCTAGACGCGTTGGAGGAGAGGCAGGCGGCCCGTTTCATGACCATTGAAAGGACGATTGAGGGTATGGAGTACACGGCGGAGGGGTTCGACCAGAGGCTGCGGGCCATCGAGGAGAAACTTCAGAAGGGTATTCCAAGGGACGACGAGGGTCGGCGGAGATGGACTCTTGTGTTCGGAGGGTGGGAGCCTGATACTCGCAAGGCCACGATTCTCGCTGAATTGGACCAGGCAGTCAATAAGCTCAACATCCGCGACCACTTTGATGAGGCCCCCTTTACCACAGGACCACGACGCTCCGTTGCACTGTGCAACATCGGAGCGAGGGAGGGCGAATCGGAGGCCGACCGGAAGTCTCGTGTGCGTGGCATCGTGACGGCCTTCGCCAAGCAGACCATGATGACCTCGTCCAAGAAGAAGTTGTGGGCGGGGTATTCTAAGACCAAGGAGGCTCGGGACATTGCTTCTCATTGTTCCTGGGTGCGTAGAGTCGTGGCTGAGACGGCGGAGGCGCATGTGGGCTTGCTTGAGTGTGAGTACGGTACCGGAACTACCTGGCTGGGAAACTCCTTGATCGGTAGTGTTGGAAGGACCATTCCCCCAGGGACGGAGGCGAGTGACGTGGTGACCTATGACAAGGGTACCGCTAAGGGATGGGTCAATGCCAAGGCCTTGAGCAGGGAGCTGCAGGTTAGCATGGACTCCGTCCGGCATTCGCTGGAGAGGCAGAAGCGCTGAGACTTGGGCGAGGCGTATGAGCGCCTGCTGAACGTTGGGGACGAGATCCTTGCTTCCTCCCCGCGGTACAGTTCGTTCGGCAGCGAATTCGGTGCATTTCGAGATGAAGCTAGGGATGCTCGGGGATCGTCGGCCCGTGCTGAAGGCAGGGCGGAGTGTGGCCTCGACTTTACAGAACTACGCGTTTTTGGGTGGAACTTGGGAGGCGCAGCTTTGGAACATCTGAAGCCCGCTTTGGGGGACGTTTCCCGGGGTCCACTGCATCCACATGATTTGTTTCTCCTACAAGAACTCCCTCGGAGAGCAGCGGGGTGGTCTCGTGTGAAGGTGGAAGATCGGCTGGTGGTGGGGCATAGGGATCGGAAGCAGTGGCGTGGAGTCGGCATTTCCTTCCACGAGTCGGCCTGGGCGCTGCAGAAAAGAGTGGCAGCAGGGTACGGCTGTTGGTTCCAAACACGTCACCAGCTCGGTTCAGGTATGGTGTGGCACGTTCCACTTCCCGCCGGGAACTTCCTTGGTTGACTTTGAAGCAGGCCTGGCCCGATTCCTTGAGAAGAAGCCCAAAACAGCACTGCCCGTCATCGTTCAGGGGATGTGAATGCCCACTTCCGGTGGGCACAGAGCTCTAATCTAAGGCTGATACTCTGGTAAGCACGAATGGGCGGTCGCTCCTGTTTAGGGACCGTGCCGTGGCCGCAGGACTACTACCGGTGGCGCCCGTCCGCTCCCACCAAGGCCTCCCCACGAGCAGGCCGCGCCAGGCGGGCCGCGAGAGGCATCACATTGACTTGTTCCTGACTCAGAGGGTACTGAAGGGCAAGAGCGAAGTGATGGTCGACTCTCATGGGCTGCTTGGGACGGATCACGAGTGCATGTTCGGGGCTTTCCGGGTTAGGCGAGGGAGGACTCACAGACGCTGCACTACGGGACCGAGGGTGTGGACCGGGGGGATCGAACAGATTGACCACATCGACCAAAGTGTGCTTGAGAATCTGGCCAAGACCTGCTCCAAACCCAGACCTGGCCAATCGTATAAAGACCCCCAGGACGTCAAGGACCTCTTTCGGCAGGCGAGACAGAGTAAATCCAAGGTTGCCTGGAAACAGGCGCTTGCAGCCAGAAAGAGCTCTAGGAAGCAGTGGGAGGCAGAGAGGCTGAAGCGTGCGGCACAGGGCGACTGGAAGGAGTTTCGTGAATACAAAAAACAGGGGCCGGTGGGGTGGGAAATCGATTAATGTTGGATCCGGATTAACAACCCCCCCCCTGATTATGTGGGGATGGGGTTAATTATTAAGTATAGTAGTAAGTAGATAGAGAGTACTTAGTAAAGTATTGCAGTCGTACAATAGGAGTACAGTAGTATAGTTGTAGTACAGTAGTATAGTAGTAGTACAGTAGTATTACAGTAGTAAAGTAGTAGTACAGGAGTACAGTAGTACAGTAGTAGTACAGTAGTATAGTAGTATTACAGTAGTAAAGTAGTAGTACAGTAGTACAGTAGTAGTACAGTAGTATAGTAGTATTACAGTAGTAAAGTAGTAGTACAGTAGTACAGTAGTACAGTAGTACAGTAGTAGTACAGTAGTATAGTAGTATTACAGTAGTATAATAGTAGTATAGTATAGTAGTACAGTAGTATGGTATTATTACAATAGGGGGTTCAAGGACTTGAGGGGGTGGCAGCAGAAGATATCACCGAAATCCGAGGGATCCCAAGGCCAGGGATCTCTGACCCTTCCATCTCAAAGCTTCGGGCTTTCTAGGTCAAAGCAAAGGGCCTGCAAATCCCTGGTCCCGGGCCGGACCCTGTTAATCGGGGGGTGGTTTCCTGCTATTCTGGGGGGGGCGGGGCCTGCAAAGGGGTGGCTTTCTAGGTCAAAGCCAAGGGCCTGCAAATCCCTGGTCCCGGGCCGGACCCTGTTAATCGGGGGGGGTTTCCTGCTATTCTGGGGGGGGGCGGGGCCTGCAAAGGGGTAGCCGTGGAAAACTTGACAAACCTACTCTTTTTATATACGGTTTAATTAGGGAACCACCTGTTTCTGGCAGCAGAAGATATCACCGAAATCCCAGGGATCCCAAGGCCAGGGATCTCTGACCCTTCCATCTCAAAGCTTCGGGCTTTCTAGGTCAAAGCCAAGGGCCTGCAAATCCCTGGTCCCGGGCCGGACCCTGTTAATCGGGGGGGGTTTCCTGCTATTCTGGGGGGGGCGGGGCCTGCAAAGGGGTAGCCTTGGAAAACTTGACAAACCTACTCTTTTTATATACGGTTTAATTAGGGAACCACTTGTTTCTGGCAGCAGAAGATATCACCGAAATCCCAGGGATCCCAAGGCCAAGATCTCAGACCCTTCCATCTCAAAGCTTCGGGCTTTCTAGGTCAAAGCAAAGGCCTGCAAATCCCTGGTCCCGGGCCGGACCCTGTTAATCGGGGGGGGTTTCCTGCTATTCTGGGGGGGGCGGGGCCTGCAAAGGGGTAGCCTTGGAAAACTTGACAAACCTACTCTTTTTATATACGGTTTCATTAGGGAACCACCTGTTTCTGGCAGCAGAAGATATCACCGAAATCCCAGGGATCCCAAGGCCAGGGATCTCTGACCCTTCCATCTCAAAGCTACGGGCTTTCTAGGTCAAAGCAAAGGGCCTGCAAATCCCTGGTCCCGGGCCGGACCCTGTTAATCGGGGGGGGGGGTTCCTGCTATTCTGGGGGATGAGGGTAAGCTCCACGCATACTGGATGAGGAAGGAAGCCCGCAGATTGGGCAGGAACATTGCCCCTAAGTACAAGCTGAGCTCAGCTGGACATGCGCTGGTCTAATGAGGAAAAGTCTGCCATCATGAGTTCTTTACGGTTTAGGCTTCAGGGTTTGGGGTTTAGGGTTAAGTCATAAGCCTCTAAATCCCCTAAATCCTTATTTCGGTGATTTTCGGGGATGGCCCCGTCTAATCGGGGGGGGTTTAAATGAGCTCCGGTACTATAGGGGTGGGGTCTAATGGACTTCTTCATTAAGCCCATGACATGCCCGGGACGGCCCCGTCTAATCTGGGGGGGTATCTTAATCCGTAAACAACATTATGCCGAGGCACAGGCTTCTGATGTCCATCAAAGTGTTCACGACCACCTTCAGACAGTGTACAGTGGACCGTCGGTTCACCCCTACCCTGATGTGGCAACGGAAGTGAGGGCCTTCACACCGGAGGAACTTCAAGCGGCGTTGGAAGGGATGAAGGCGGGGAAGTCCGTGGGCATGGATCTTACAAGCAAGGAACTCCTGCAGGGGATTGTGTCAATCAAAGGGGGACGGATGCACTTGTTGGAGTATTTCAACCGTGTGCTGACCACCCGGGAGATCCCGCATGCGTGGAATAGGCCGCTGGTGATTTTGCTCCCAAAGGTACCCTCGCCTACCTCCGCGACTCAACTGAGACCCATAGCTTTGGGGAGCAGTGCCTCTAAGGTGTTCTCCAAGATGCTACTCGCCAGGGTTAAGGGGTCACTGGAGAGTAAGGCGTTCGACTCTTTGAACCGGCAGGCGCTGTTGGACCGTTTGCATGAGCACCTTGGCAATACCGCCGAGTTCTTCTGCCTCCAGGCCCTCTTGTGCGACGTGCGCACGACCATCCAGACTTTGTGGGGAGTTTCGTCAGTGGACATGGGTTCGGGGATTAAGCAGGGAGCGGCCGAAAGCCCGCTGCTGTTTGCATTTGTTATGGAAATAGCCTTGAGGGAGGCCACCACGCAGTTCGAGTGGGGCAAAATGCCGAGGGTCCTACCGGAGCTAGTGTCCTCAGACCTTCTCTTCATGGATGATGGGGTATTGTGGGCCAGAGACTGCAGGGATCTGACGAGCAAAATCGCGGGCTTCTCCGAAGTACTGTCCAGGTACGGCCTCTCGTTGAACCTCAAGAAGTGCCAACTCTACTGCACTCCGCTGTGCCCGCGACCACACCAGCTCCAGGTCGGGGACTTTAGCCTGACAGGGCAAGATGGACTGGAGGTCATGGGGGTTACAATGGCTCAAGGGATGCCGATTGCAGCTATGATTCACCCCATGTTGGTACGGGCCCAGAACAAGTTTTGGTCGCTAAAGCATCTCTTCCGGTGTAAAGTATCCGCCATTTCACGCCTCAAACTGATGCACAGGGTTATTACCAATTCTGCACTGTGGTGCTGCTCGGCATTCCCCCCGGATAAGGGTGCATTAAAGGCAGTGAATACACAGCAAAACCTCTTGATCGGCTGGTTGCTCAGGCTGGGTAAGCGCAAAGGCGAGGAGTGGCTTCCATTCAGATTGCGAATTGTCAGGTCGGCCAGGGCGATGCTGAACAATGCAGGGTTGCCGAGGTGGTCGACAGTGTGGTTGCAACGTTGGTGGGGTTACTCGGGACATCGGGCACGGTCGCTGTTGAGGGTGGTGCCACCTTTCAGTGCTGAGGTAGACACGGTTCGTACTCTGGAGTGGTGGAATAGGCAGAAACGACCGTCAGGTGTGTTCCACCCGGGCGCCTTCTACCCCCGGGTTATGAACCTCGAGCGAGCCGAACAAGGCCTGCTCCGGGCCATGGAGGGAAGCAGCTCACGACAAGAAGGGTTGGAATAGCAAGATGCAGACCTGGGTCTCGCAACAGGACCTCCCATGGGCATCAGGGTTGCAGCTGAGCTTGACGTGCGAGTAGGAGTTTGCCTGGAGGGTTAGGGTTTTGGACGACTGGTCGAATGAAGGCGACACCTGACAGATCTGTCGGCTCGAGGCTCCTTGACAAGCACAGTGGTAAACCCGCCCAGCCGTCATGATGTACTTCCATGTGTTCTTTTGGCTGCCTCCTCTCCTTTGCGACTGGAGATTGGCTTCAATTCGATATGTTCAGATGTGCCCCGCCTACGTGGCGGATGCGAAGTTGAACTATGTGGCGGACTACACAGGCCTCGCGAGCTTGACATTGACCGCGGCTATACCTCCTGGTTAACTTCCCCGACTACGTGCGTGACTGGGATGCAGGTATACTACTGGGTCGTGCTGCGCACCTTCCTCTTCAGGGATCACCGAGAGGGTACAACCCGGGGTTGAACGAGTTCAACTTCCTCATCACCCAAGGGCCAGCTCGAAGACGCCACCCACCCCGGGGGACCGTCCCCGCACACTCGTTGGCAGCGGGAGTCGTGAGTGACATCCACTAGTACCACAGACAGGGCTATCGGACCAACGGGCTCATCCAGGCCATCGAGCATCCTGGGCACACCGACAGCTACACACTGCCTGGGCCTTCACTAGCGAGCTCCCCAACGCCAAATCACTTCAATACGTGGGCCCAACAATGGAACATTTGGCACGAATGCTTGCGAAGCGACTCTACCCATCACATTGGCTCGCCATCCTGGGGGTTCCTGATGGGGGCATGCTTGCTGACCATTCGGCGTGAAGTCTGTGCGGTGCTCTTCCTTGGTCCTGTCGGCGGACAGCCGGGAGGATACCATCAGGAAATCCAGCTCCCGGCGTGGCTACTCACGGCGGCACAGGTTGCAGCCACAGCCCAGGCCACAGGCGCGGACATGATGGGCCTCCTCTACGCCGTTGTACAGTCTCGAGGAGTACCTGAGTACACGTACTTCGCGGGCCCGCTCTTTCAGGTCTTGTCGGTACTGGCTGGCATCCCGGAGTCACAAGTGCACCCAGGGGTAATGCAGATGGAGGTCATTGAGTGGGCCGAGTTCACGGAGCGACACATCCTGGGGGAGTGATCATGCCACGGAGCTCGCACTACACAATGTATTCATGGAGGCTGGGGGATCGCCGGACGCGGACCTTGGCCCACAGAGGAGAGAAACTCCCCACCTCCGAGAAAGGCGCGAACAGTTCAACCGTGTGCGTCGCACTAGTCCACTCCTACAACAACTGCGGGGGGCCGCAGCGCCTCCGCTGGACAACCGGGGTCACATGCTGGAGTGGACTGGGGGAGTGGTGCAGCACATCCATGACCTCCATGCGGAGGGCTTCCTTCCTGACTGCTGTGTTCCCCTCATCCGGCAGATGGTGCTCGAGCGAAGGTTTGCGGAGTACGAGAGCGCTGCTGCCCACTACCTGCGCAATGTGGAAAGCCAGATAGGCACATACATGGGATGCCATGCGGTGTGCCGGTTGGACACGGCATGCTGGGCAGAACGGGTCGAAGAGGCATTGTGGCGTCCATGGACTTGATCTACGAGGCGCCCCTTCTTCTTCCTCTTCTTCCTAAGGACCTAAACAACGGTGGCTGAAACCAAGCCCTGCCCGCCGGCGCCGACATGCTCCGCCTTTGGCGCGATCTCGAGGTGGAGGCCGCGGCGGCGCATCAGGGGAGGTATGTACCACGGAGACGCTCAGCCTGGCGGCGGCGGCGGACCAAAAGACTCGGGGCAGAGAACGGACTGCTCTGCGGGATGGGGAGTCACGCGGTGACAAGGGCAAGAGAGCACCACCGAAGGCGAGACCTGTACCACGGCCCAAGCATCACGCAGCGCCAGCGGCACGAGCGGGGTCCACCTCAACTCCGACCCCGGCATCTTCGTCTACGGACCTGGCCCCAATTTCCCTGGACACGGCGGTTGACACATGGATGCTGTGCCTGGGACTCAGACATGTGGACGACCCGGTCGGTCACGATCTCCTCCCTGCTCATGTCTCGGCCAGCATCGGCGACACCTATGTGGTCCCACAATATGCAGGACCGACAGGTGCTCATGCTGGCCATCCACAGGCTTGTCCTCCGACTGCTTGCTGCCATGGGGGATGCGATCCAGACAGCGGTCACTCATGAGAGGGAAGAAACGATGGAGGTCGCGGTGGAAGAAGATGACGAGTACATCTATATGCAAATGCCCAAGGACTTCCCTGACCTCCTGCTGGCACTCCTGGAACACCGATGTGCCAATAATGCGGCGGGATGGTTTCTGGGTCACTCAGGAGGGAATGTGGGGATGACGGTGGCAGTCCTGGCTACCTTCGTGGGGGATGCCAACTCCAACGACTGGGCCCGATGCAGCGAAGATGGTGTTAAATGGGCCCTGCAATGGGCCCAGCGGCTGCAAGTTCACCTACCCCAGCACCCAGGGTCTCGGCAGGCGAGGGGGCTTGTCCCGTGTCGTGGGCCGGTTATGCTGTTCTCCAAGCCGATTCCGGATGACATTGACAGCGATGGCGTGGAAGGACGGCCTTTTGGGGCTCTTGCGGCGGCACCAGCCGACGCCATACTGCTCGGGGACTCTCATGAATCGGGATGTGCATCGGGGCCTACTGAACCGTCCTCGCACGGACTCACGAACTACCTGGTTGGACTCCGCACGCCTTCGCCCGCTTCGGCTGCTTCGGAGACTGCTGCCGGGCCGCGCAAGGTACGGGTCCTCATGGTCGAGGTGAGCTCGGGCAGTGCTGATGTTCCGCGGCGAACGTTGCGACTGCCGTTGAGGCCAAACGGAACAGCCACTGTTCAGCTGCAGTTGGGCATTACTGAGGAGGAGGACCAGGATGAGATTGCCACACAGCCAGCTGGGAAGAAGCACAGGGTGACAGGGTCGCAGTACATGAGCCCGCCATCGTGGGGGGTGACATGACTCAGATGGATTCCCTGGAGGCCCAAGGGGTCGAGGCTATATCGGCGGACTTGGTCTCTTCGCTGGCTGACAGTCGTGACTTGACCGATGAGCAGATCCTTCGGCTGTATGGCAACGAGGTCCTGGATTTGGTGCAGGTCCGACGTGCCTTGATGCCGACGGGGTCAGCTACTGGATGCGGCGAACGAGGTGATGCGGTGTAGTGCCTGGGTCTTCGCTTCGCGGGTTGACGAGTGGTGCTGTGAGGGTGACGTCTGAGAGGGCTTAGGATGTGTGCCTGTAAGCGGCGCCGTTCTGGGGTGCTGGGATGTCGCCTGTCCCCTGGCCTCTGTGGCCTTTATCGAGCAGACTGGATTGCTGGGTGAAAAAGGGGCTCAAAAAAAAAACCTAGAGCCTGAACCCTAACCCCTAAACCCAAACCCTACAGCCTAAACCCTATTCAGCCCTGAGGACGGAGCCGTAGCTCACCGCGCAGCTGTGGCAGTGACGCGAGGAGAGCGCGACCAGCGACCTGGCATTGAACCAGGATGGTCCGGGATTTAGGGTGCCGGGTTCAGGGTTTAGGGTTTAGGGGCGTTTAGAGATTCTATAGCTTTAGGGTTCCGGGCTTAGATATCATAGTGTTTCGTGTTTAGGACTTCGGGTTCTTTAAACTGGCTGCCAGCCTGCCTGCCTGCCTTCTTTCTTGTTTATTTATCCATCTTTCTGTCCGTCTTCTCTGACCACCACCGATCCTGGCCCTAAATCCTAAGCCTCCCCCACTCGCCACAGGGCTTCAGAAGTCCTGGTTGCCTGCGGCTGAAAGTTGCTTTTGCGATTGGTTGCTAGGTTTTCCGGTTTCGGGCTTAGGGCTCAGGACCTTTTAGGTTTCAGGGTTTTGTTTGGTGTTTCGGGATGTTGCAGCACCTAGTTACGTTGCCGTGATGCAGTCGGGATCCCTGGAATGAGGTAGCATCTACTTTCGGTCGGGCTTCCTGAATCAGCTTGTGCCTAGACACCTAACACCTTACTACCCATACTCATGGCAAAACATCTATTACAATGAGTGCTGCAGAAGACCATCGTGGGTACTCTGTGTGTAGGATCGTGCGTGGCTTGTGGTGGATCTACAAAGTTTCGTTGTACTCGTTGGTCATGGCAACTATGCAGCTCCGCCTCCGTGAATGCCCCCCCCCCCGCCCCACCAAGTAGCCTGGCAGAACGTGCTCCTTTGTCAAAGCTTTGAGATAAGCCTCAATTACAAGGGACCGTAAGTTTGAGCAGGCCACTCTTGAAGATGCATCCCAGAAAGGTGACTTTATAAGTTGCCCACGAGAACGCGTGTTCGACAACGCGTGTTCGACTTGCACGGTTCTTGGATTCTGGGATGTTGAAGTAAAGCGTACGTTACATTTACGTTACATTCACACTACAGATTCATGATAGCATCACGCATGCAGATTCCTGAAGACATCCAGAACTTGCATGCCTATTTCATCCTACTCCCGTGCTGTTCTCTTCATGTTTCAGTTGACTGTCTTGTATGCCTCTGTAGACAGAAAGCCAAACATGTTGGAGTTGCGCGCGCGACGGCTTGGGTTTCTGGCTGGCCGCAGGTCCCGTTTAGATGTTGTCCGCGGTGGACAAGGCAGTTTCATACTTCAGACTTCAGCAGAAAGTGCGCGCTGCTCGCTAAGATACACAGGGTGAAACTTTCGAGAGGGAGCCGCAGAAGCAAATCCATAAAACCCAGTTTCATTACCTTTCGACTATGCTCCTAGTATGCAAGTATGCCGTCATGCGTGCAGCCGGTTCGCTTCGGATCCCCGGCCCGGAATATCAACGAAGCATGCCTTGATCCATGAGGCCGTGACGCTGTTGTGAGGTCCTTAGATGCGAATCTCCAATCCTAAGTTTTCCCTTTTTGACTTATGTTACGTATTTTGGGGGAATGACATATTCCGAGAATGGCAGCATATCAAGTAAAGAAAATATGATCCGGGACCAAGTGGCATCCTACAACAGTCGAGACAACACGCCGAGCCCTAGAACTCCAAAACTTTTGGAGACTTTAAAAAGCCCGCTAAAGAGCCTGGAACTCGGAGTAAAACTATGCCCTGAACTTGGATGTTTCAGCCCCGGTCCGACACGGATGCCTGCGCAGCATGTTTGCGCATGCGTGTTTTCTAGGTGTATTCGATGTGTATGCGTGCATACATGTGCACATTCTATAGATATGTATATGACTCTTTTTTTCTCTCTCTCTCTCTCTCTCTCTATATATATATATATTTATATTTATAGGTGTATATATATATAGGTATGTAAAGATACGATTCAGATATATACATATACAGGTATAGAAATGCAGAGATATACATTTGGCTGTAAGTGGTTCTGTGTGTGTGTGTTTTTTGAATTTGTTCGTGTGTGTTTTTGCGTGTTGGCACATGTCGTATGCTCGGCTATGCTCATTTGTTTCTGCTCTCGTTTTTTCTCGTTTCGTCGTTCATCTGTTGGAACTGTGTCCGACGTTCAGACTCCTATATATTGGGAAGCATTTGCACTGTCCAAAGTTTGTGATTGTGGCGTGGTGGGCGTGGCTGACGTGAGATCATTCCGCGGTATTCGAACCTTGCGCTGCCTTGAACCGCCATCCCCCAGCACCGAGCCAGAAATCAGAAATTAGGTTAGAGTGTAGTCGGGTTCGTTTGTCGGAGCATGCTGCAGCCAAGAAAATACACACATGGCGTCGAGCTTTACTTAACCCGTGGATTCATAACTGCATCGGCAAAAGAAGTGCCCGAACACATTCCGGTAAGTCTCAATTCAGAAACATTGCAGACAAAAGCCTCAGGTCCAAAATCCCGATCTCTCGACGCGTAGAAGTTTTTCGATGTTGGAAATGGTGATCGACGAACATGATAATACATGATATTGGTTTAGACGCCCAGGCCGGAATCTGGTGTTTCAAGCTCCCCAAGAATTTAGTGTGGAAGTCTCATACTTGAGTGTAAGAACTCGTGGTAGATGAGGAATGTGGCAAAGATGTTCAGCTCATGATGAGGGGCCTAGGAGTTTTTAGTTTGTAGAACACAACCACCGATGTTGTAGGTACTTGGGGCCGACGATTTCGCGCATCGATTTCTCGCCCGATGGCCGCACACTTATGGCGAACGTGCAGACAGAATCCGGACTTGAATTGAGTGCTCGGTCTTTGGTTGCTCCTGACCCATAAAATCTCTTCATCACATCAGGCGTTCGGTTCCAGCGATAGGCATGGTCTCGGGCTTGGGGGTTCTGAATGTTGGTTGCGGGGGTGGTGCTGCTAGATTCAAGTTCCCTAGAGGCCCCCCCAGGAGGGTATCTTTGATATTGTAAAGAATCTGGTAGGGGACTGGTTGCCAACGTTCAAAAGCGTGGTATGCAGGGTGTCATGTCATGTATTGATGTGGTGGTCCGGCAATTCGAGTCCCGAGTTTGGAGTTTATTAAGGATTAGGATGGGGGGTTGCGGGCTTGGCTTGTGCCGCGAAGCTCCAAATGTCCAACACCTTGACAGCCTTGACACCCAATACACCCATCACCTGAAACCCAACATGTTGTCGGACATAGGAACTTAAATTTGTTACATGCACACTAACCTGAGCCGTCGTCATTACGGTTTCGGTTGTCAGGTTGCGTATACCCTAAACCCGCCTAAACCCTAAACCGGAACAACGGCATCTGAAAGACCTGCGACCGGCTGAATTTGGCCTGGGGGTCTGCCTGTATCTCCCTCTATAGTTGTACTTCCAACATAAGGGGTACCTTAGGGTTCCTTTAAAGGGCTACTGTGAGGGTACTACAAGGGTTCTATAAAAGGGTTAGGGTTTAGGGTTTAGAGTTTCCGAAAGTTAGGGGTACCTTGTTTTGGGGTCCTTATAATAAGGATCCTACTGTTCAAGGTACTGTATTAGTATTAGGATCCCCTATTTTCGCACACTCACATGTATCCGCTGAGCCCAGCATCCCGGGGCCCCCGACGCTGTGGTTGAAGATTCAAGTGCAGGCAGTTGAGATCGAATCACTGGGTGCACAATTATGTTCGTGCTCCGAAATCTGAGCCTTACCCATACAGCTTCATCCGATATGCAACTAAGCTATCAAACCTGAGCCCGTAATACTCCTAGGTTCATACATGTATATGCTACTAGTAGATGCATATGTGAAAATGTGCCTCTATAAACACTGAGGGAAGACCAAATGGTTTTAAGTTACAATATGAGTATATTTTAAATATTCCATTACAATATACATACCTATTTTCGTTCATACATGCATACATACATACGTACACACACACACGGACACATAAATTATATATATATATATATACATACATATGTATATATAGTGAAATATGTCAATACGTGTGTTTATCGTTTTTGACACGTGTACATGTGCGTGTGTGTTTGTGTGTATATATATACATACGTGAAAATGTGTACATATCTGAATACACTCATACGATTATGTCGGTCCCTTTCTGCTTCTCGGTGGCTGTGTGTCCGGGGTGGTGCGAATGAATCTGAATGACTGAATGGATGCGAATGTTCGGTCATGACTGTGCGGATATGAAGGTGATCACCAAGGTTATAGTACTCACCAATCTTAAGTACAAGCATGCCTTGGCAGCCTTGGCACTGATAATCACAGATTATGTGCAAACATGCATGCATACATAGACACATTACACATACTAGGCGTACTACACACATAGCATACGTTGCATACATATGACGCTGTACTGTAAATACATACTCAAACACACACACACACACACATTTCCTACATTTGTACCTACTTACATGCATACCTGCATGCACACATACATGCATGCAGACCGGCCATAAAATACCTTGCAATGCGTCACGACGCAATACAAGACAACTCAGTGCTGTTCATGCATACATCGTTACACTCGCATACCAGACATTCCTCACTGCATGTGTACATACATACATACATGCATGCATACATACATCGTTTCATACAGACACACACAAACACATTTATATACATATGTATATGTATATATATATATATATACACATGTAGGTATACATACATTAGATTACAGTTCATTTAATCAAACCCCACTGACGTATGCAAGGTCATGTGTACATACGAGTACATACGTACAGATGCATGTAGGAACATACTTACATACATATAGCCAGAGA